GGCTCTGCAGCAAAACGGACAACTCAACAACCAGGGCCTGGGTCTCCAGGCCAGCCAGCATGCTCCTCCCCAGGTGTCTCCCCAACAGCAGCAGCAACAGCAACAACAGCAGCAGCAGCAGCAGCGTAAAACACTCTTCACTCCTTATCTGCCCCAGGCCAACCTTCCCGCTCTTCTGAGCAACGGCCAGCTGGTGGCCGGTATCCTGCGGGTCAACAAAAAGAACCGTTCCGACGCGTACGTGACGACTGGAGACCTTGATGCGGATATCTTTATCTGTGGAAGTAAGGACCGTAACCGTGCGCTGGAGGGTGACTACGTGGCCGTGGAGCTGCTGGACGTCGACGAGGTGTGGTCCCAGAAGAAGGAGAAGGAGGAAAAGAAAAAGCGCAAGGACATCACCGATGCTCGGTCGGGCAGCAACGCCGGCGGAGACAAGCTCTCGCGCTCCGACTCTGGCCCCAACGGCGACCGCCAGGAGGTCGGACCGGACGGTAGTATCCGCCGTCGCGGCAGTCTTCGCCAGCGTCCCACCCAGAAGAAGAACGACGACGTCGAGGTGGAGGGTCAAAGCCTTCTCCTGGTCGAGGAGGATGAGATCAGTGACGAGCAGAAGCCCCTCTACGCCGGTCACGTCGTGGCCGTGATTGAACGAGTTCCCGGACAGATGTTCTCCGGAACCCTTGGACTCCTCCGTCCCAGTAGCCAGGCGACGAAGGAGAAGCAGGAGGCGGAGCGGCTGGCCAGAGATGGTGCACACGGCCGCCCCCAGCATGACCGTCATCAGGATAAACCCAAGATTGTCTGGTTCAAGCCCACCGACAAGCGTGTTCCCCTCATCGCCATCCCGACCGAACAGGCCCCGCGCGACTTCGTCGAGAAGCACCAGGACTATGCCAACCGTATCTTCGTTGCTTGCATTAAACGGTGGCCCATCACCTCTCTGCATCCGTTCGGAACTCTGGTGGAGCAGCTGGGTGAGATGGGCGATCTAAAGGTCGAGACCGAAGCGCTCCTCCGCGACAACAACTTCGGCTCCGACGAGTTCTCGGACGCCCTCCTGAAGAGCATTGGCTGGGAGGACTGGTCCGTCGCTAGCCAAGGCGAGGCTCTTCTGGCTTCCCGCCGGGACTTCCGCCAGGAGGTCACATTCACTGCCGACCCCCGAGGCACCAAGGAGCTGGAGAACGCTTTCCATTTCAAGACCCTCCCTGACGGCAAGGTGGAAATTGGTGTTCACGTCGCGGATATTGCCCACTTTGTGAAGGCCAATTCTCTGGTGGATCGTGAGGCCAAGAAGCGCGGCACGGCCGTTTACCTTGTCGACCGTCTCGTCAACCTGTTGCCCCAGCGTATCTCCACCGACCTTTGCTCCTTGCTGCCCGGTGAGGACCGTCTGACCGTCAGTGTTGTTTTCAAGGCCAACCCGGAGACTGGTGCCGTTGACGACGATGTCTGGATCGGCAAGGGTATCATCAAGAGCTCAGGTCGCTTGAGCTATGATGAAGCGGATGCCGTTATCAAGGGCACTTCGGAAGTCGCTTCGCCTGAAGTCAAGGCCGAAACCATTCGGGCGCTTTACGTAAGTTCCTCTCTCCATTTTTTGACTCTTTTGGTGCATACAGCTAATGTAACTCTCCCTCAAACAGGCTGTGTCTTCGAAATTCCGCGAGGCAAGATACGGAAACCGCACTTCGCAGCTGCCCCCTCTTCGCCTTCTGTATCAGATGGACGATGAGAACGTGCCGGTTCGCTACAACATCTTTGACGCATCTCCCGTGCAGGAGCTGGTGGAGGAGCTGAGCCACAAGGCCAACTTCTTCGTTGCCCGCAAGATTGCGACTGCGCTGCCCGACAAGGCTTTCTTGCGTCGTCAGTCCTCTCCCAACGCGCGCCGTCTCCAGACCCTGGTTGAGCGCATGAACCGACTTGGCTTTGGCTTGGACCCGACCAGCAGTGGAACCCTGCAGAGCAGTCTCTGCAAGGTCGAAGACAGCAACCTGCGACAGGTAAGCTTTTCCCGATTGAACAGTCAATGATGGTATCGCGCTAATCAAATCACACATCCATAGGGAATGGAAACACTCCTTGTGAAAGCAATGCAGCGTGCCAAGTACTACGTTGCCAGCCCTCAGGGTGAGCAGCGTCAGCACTTTACTCTCAACCTCCCGGTGTACACTCACTTTACCAACCCCTCCCGACGATATGCCGATATCGTCGTCCACCGCCAGCTGGAGGCTGCTCTGTCTGACGGAGCGGTTGAGTTTTCCGAGGACTTGGAGTCTCTGAACAAGACCGCGGATCTCTGCAACAACAAAAAGGATTCGGCTCACAACGCCCAAGAGCAGAGCGTTCACATTGAGGCTTGCCGGGAAATGGACAAGAAGCGACAGGAGATTGGCGGCGACCTGATCAGCGAGGGTATCGTCCTTTGCGTGTACGAGTCCGCCTTCGACGTTCTCATCCCGGAATATGGGTTCGAGAAGCGTGTCCACTGTGACCAGCTGCCTCTGAAGAAGGCCGAGTTCCGCAAGGACAGCCGTACTCTGGAGCTCTACTGGGAGAAGGGTGTTCCGTCCTCGGCCTACATCCCCGAGGATGAACGGCCGAAGCCTGCGAACTCCCGTGCTGCCCAGGCTGCCGCAGCCGCGCGTGAAGCAGAGGCTGCCCGAGAGCGTGCGCGCGAGAGGGAGGAGAACATGCGCAAGCAGACCGAGACTGGCACCATGTCCGCCGACGACGTGGACGCTCTCTTCGATGACGACGACGACGTCTCCGAGGTTACCGAGATGGCCGCTGGCGTGTCGTTGAACTCGGCTGCCGACCGCTCCACTCAGAGCATGCCCCCGTCCCCTACCCGCAACGGGCACCTCCAGCAGGCCCCTCACCGCACTCGCTCGGATCCCAAGATCGCCACCATCTCCGGCGATGCTCCCGAGGCCAAGTTGACCAACAAGGAGAAGTACCTGCGGCTGTTCAAGCTGCGCGAGGAGGATGGAGAGCACATTCAGGATGTCACCGAGATGACCCGTGTTCCCGTTATTCTGAAGACTGACCTGAGCAAGAGTCCCCCGTAAGTTTTTCTAACAGCATGTCTTGACCCTGACTATTCCTTGCTAACCTTTCTTGACTCTAGATGCCTCACTATTCGCTCCGTCAACCCCTTCGCTTTGTAGAGGGTGGAGCACTATATTCGCCTCCTCACATGTTGAAGTAATAAGTTTTGGCCCATTTGACAAATCTTCCACAGGGGACGTATAATTGATATACATTGGTTGTCCTACAGCTCAACCATCCTTACTTGATCACACAACCAGTTGGTTGGCTCTTGCATGTCTTCTCCTGACAATATTGCTTTTTAATCAGTCTAGCGTGTTTAGTGCTCTCTGTTTTCCTTTTTCCTTTTCCTTTTCCTTTTCCTTTTTCTTTTTCCGTTTGCCATAATGGCTGGTCTCCTAGTTTATCTACAAGACCGCTCCGGGGAGCCGGTTATCTTAGGTTGTTCAAATATCAGTTATTCTTACAGCGTGGTCTTGTTTTGGGAACAGAAAAGCCTCTGGGAGAACTGTGTTGATGTATCACTGATCTGGTTTGCGAGACGTATACTGATCCAGAAGTGTTCCACGGAGATGAGGAACTGGAGGATGGATGGGTCGCGTCGGAAAAATTGTCTATTATTTTAGATAGTCTCATGGCTTATTGACTGGCTGTTTCGGAGATTCTTGAGTGTTGCTGTAAGATTATTCTATGAATTGTAGTATGTAATCGATAAGTAACTATACGAATGTCCGTAGACAATTAAACATCGCCCACGTCAGGGTAATTCAACCATGCATATATCACAATATCAAGTACGATACTCCAATAAGCAATGCGATCACAATCACACTGACTGTCCTGCTTACCTCAGCTTCTAAAGCAAGTGACTCTGTGAATGGTCTAGATAGACACCGAAGTATTCAAGCACAGTAGTCGTTATGCCCGCTGGTTCCATCCGCGCAAAGCTCACAGGTGATCGTGTATTCAAGGTCTCCCACAATATCATTGCAGTAAAAAAAGTATATTCGACCACTCCTGGCAATTCTCACCACCCTGCAGCTCGCAGGTAGCTTCCAGTCCCTGGCCTGGGTAACGGGAAACTGTATGTTGAATCCACAGTAATGTAGTCCCCTGGAGCATCATGGTTGGGCTGTTGTGCCTTGAAGTAAGGTTGTTGCTCCTGCAAGTAAAAAGATAAGAAGCTTCATGGCAATGACGCTAGAGTGAGTGGAATTTGTAGGTTATTGATAACTATCGGGTAGGTAGTCAGTCAATGAAGAGCTTAATCTAGATACCTACGATTCTCCCAGACAGGACACTGACTGGTATTTAAGCACCAGCAAAAGCCGTTACATCTTGCTGAAGGTCTTAAGCAAATATGTAGACTCCTTACGCCAAATTACGGTGAAGATGTGTAGTGTAGCTTCTTCGAAGCACCTAATCAGCACTCAAATCGGGTATAACCCACTCACTCAACCAATCTCTCCAAATTTGATGGGAAAGAGAGGGACACACACACACACACACACACACACACACACACACACACAGAGAGAGAGAGAGAGAGAGAGAGAGGGAGAGAGAGGGATGCAGCAGGAGAGAAATGTATATAAGTCACTTTTATAAAATTGATGTAGGAATATATGTATGTCATGCACGCCAATCAGTTATCAAATGCCCGTTCTTGTCAATCCTCGCCCCAATGCTGAACACTAATAATGAAAAACTCAAAAAAAGACGCCAAGCCAAATGCATTGAACCCCCCGTAATGTAAAGAATTCCTGGCGTGGGAAGACAGGCAAAAGAGGATATAAAAAGGAAAAAGAAAGAGAAACGAACAAGAGGAGTCGAGGATAGGAAGAGAGAAAGAGAGCCAGGTATAACATAAAGGTATTATAAATAATGATACGTCAAAACAAAAGAATGGAGCGTAACGGAAGGTGGTTCAGTAGGTGAAGAGGTTACAGCCTCCTGATACCAAGACGAGGTTTCGCTTTTTTCATGCCAGAGCCGGAGACTTTTCTCGAGCCTAGGAGACCTGGTCTCGATAGTTTGGAAGTGCCCAGGCCAGGAGCAGCCGTCGGGAAGGTATTGGTCGCGGCATTGCCGGCTGGGATCGTTGACGAGGGAGCGAGGATAGTCGATGGGAAGGACGTGGAGAGGGGTTTTCGATCCCGTAGACCCTTGGAGCCTGCGGCGGAAGAGGAAGAAGATTCATGGTTCTCTTTGCCGTCACCGCTCAGTTGACGGTCTAGGCCCATCCCATTTCCTGTCGTAGGCTCGGGGACGTCCTCAAAGATTTGAAGGTCGTCGCGGACGCGGCCGGATGAGTTGACGCCCTTATGAAAGAGGGAGAGTTTGGGGGATTTGCGCTGTGGTGAGCCGTCAAGGGAGTTGTGGTATTGGGGGTCGCGGACGGCGGAGTGGTGGTTGGCAGCGATGTTCTTTTCAGAGGCGGTCATGGGGTGGTCGGTGTCGGTGTCGGTGGTATCTCCGTCTGAAGCCATGCCCATTCCCGTTGCTGACGAGGGATCTGGATAGTCAACTGGGGCCGTGAGGACGGAAAGGGGTCGTTTGCCGAAGGCATTTTTGCGGGGACTCGACGAGAAGAACTTGACCGGGGACGGGGATAACGAGGGGTCGTTCTCTTTGCTGGCAGCGGAGAGGTTGTCGTGCTCGTCGTCGGAGAAGGTAGGGGCAGGGGAGTCGTTTTCTGTATCATCCAGTTGGTCTTCGTCGTCTTCAGAAGATTCTTGGTCGTCGGGTTGGTACGGCGACGGTTGCGACTTTACTGTCGGCAGCGGGGTAGTAGCGGGCGCGTTCGTCTGGGCGGTTTTCTTCATTATCACTGTTTGAGTCTTGACGTTTTTGCGAGACCGTAATAATCGCCCATCCTCTTGCTCTGGAATCACCGTGCCCTCATCCTCTCCTCGTAGTTTCGCCTCGGACACTGCCTGTTTCATGTCTGCCGGAACAGGCGCATGGATAGACGTCATTAGCTTTGCCTGGCGGGCAAAAGCTTCGTAGTTTTCTTGAAGGAGGGATCCGGCGGAGGAGTTCAAGGCAGAGTCTGGGTTTGGATAAATCAGAAGACATGATATTGTCTGTGTGACGGATCCGCCTGGTCAGCTTTCAATCGCGATTTAACACTCTCAGCACTAGGGTCACTCACGATAAGGACATCCTTCAACGTCAACGTCGGTTTCCAGTCCCGTTTTAATGTATCCACGCATACAGCCCCCGTCGATTCCTCCACGTTCGGATGCCATATGCGAGTTCTGAACGTGGCCTTGGGCGGGCTCTTGGGGTAATCCTCGGGCATTTTGAGGTGGAGTCGCCATAGGCCCTGTGAGTACGGCGTGCCCTGCGGTCCGGCCAACAGGGTTGATAGTTGAGTCAAGTCATCGCCCGACGAATCTTCGGAAGGATGGAGGTAATTCGGCGGGAGGTCCTCGTGCAGGGCGGCATGGTCTGCCGCCAGACGTCGGAAGCCAGACGGCTGCAAAGAAGGGGTGAGGTTAGCTGAATCGTCCACTTCGTTTGTCTGATTTATTGAATAGAATAATTTGGGGATGGGCTAACCATATTGTTCCTGATTGAAAGTTTTAGACAAGACAATGGGGAGGTGGTGTTGGTGCGATCTGGCAGTTGTTGATGATGATCGAAGTATGTTGCGTGGTGCCACAAAGATGCCCAAGGTCCAATTGCAATGAATGAATGCAATGCTGTGATCACGACACAGATAGAACTGGAAAGGAAAGATAAAATCCGATTTGACAGAGCTAAGCCAGGCCCATGTAACCGAGTCAAGGCGCAAAAAGAAGAAAGTGTCGATCACGGACCAGCTTTGTCTAGATCTCGGTTGCCCCGACGTCTGCGGTGTTTCCCTCCTTTTGTTTTGATGATGTGAAGCGGACGCCGCTAGTCTCCATCCGGTCGGCAAACAAAGGCGCGGGTCTGGTCATGTGACTAACGCGTGTGGCGACGCGTTTTGGGAAGTCTAATGGATTGCCCGTTTGAGACTAGTCGTTATCCCCTTTCTTAGTCGGTCATCATTTGTCGGCCATTGCAGATTTGTGGACCGGGGATCGAGATATCCAAGATGATAGATCAGACTAGAGATATCGCTAATCAAGATTACAGACATCCATAGTTCCTTTGATCTGCCCTGTAATACTATCTACAGTTGGGACTTAACCTTTGGGAGTTCAGGAACATGGATTTCCAGACACATGTCGCATATACCATGACTTCATTAGGATATTATTATTAGTTTACTACAGAAGAAAACAAGTTCTTATGTGCGCCGCAAATATGCATCTTTTGTAACAGGCGGTTGGCTTCGAGCAAACAAACGAGACAAATGAAACGAAAACGAACCCCTTCCCAGCATTGATACAAATTCCAGATAAAGAGAACGTGCGGCAGATCGATATTGCTTAATCTCGTAGTTCTCCTCGTTGTTCCTTTTTTGGGGGTTTCATATAGCGGGGAGGCCATGAGCATCTGTTCCCTTTCCCCACATCCATCTAAGGACTGACAATAGCAGAATGGACGTCAACTCATGGCCCCAGCGGAAGGTGCGATGATGCCAGGCGTTTACAGGAAAACAGCGATGGCAGCACCGGCCAGGAGACCCATGGGGCCGGCGGTGGCCATGGGCATGGCGGCGCCGGAGGAGGTGGATCCGGTGGCAGAGCCGGAGGCAGAGGCGGATTCAGTGGACGACTCGCCGGTGGAGGACGACTTGTGGCCGGACTTGGTCTTGGTAGAAGTCTCAGTCGAGTTGGTGGTGTGGCTCTTCACGGCGCTGCTGGACTTGGTGAGGGTGGAACCGGCCGAGCTGGATCCGTGAGCGCCGCTGGAGGCAGCAGTGGTACCGGTGGGGATGACGGGCGAGGAGGTGGCACCAGTGGCACCGGAAGACTCGGTGACAGCGGTGTTAGTGCCAGTGGCACCGGTCGAGGCAGCAGTCTCGGTGGCAGTACCAGTGGCAGTACCAGTGGCAGTACCGGAGGCAGTACCGGAGGCAGTACCGGAGGCAGTGTCGGAGGCAGTAGCAGAAGCAGTCGAGCCGTCGGTAGAAGCACCAGAGACCTGGACTTCAGTGGTAGTGCCGGTGGGCTGATGATGTAAATGTCAGTATGATTCAGACTTGAATCGGATTATGGAATACATACCACAGCGTCGGTGGAGGACTGAGCGACGGCGAGGGCCGAGAAGGCAACGAGGAAGAGAGAGGCACGCATTTTGAAGGTGGTTGTTGTTGATCACGAAAGAGTTGAACGACTGACTGTTGATCGAGAGAGGATGACGAAACGGTCTTCAGATAGCGAGCAAGCAAGCGAACGTAATGAAGATGGCAGTCAAGAGTGGTTGCGAAACGACGGTGGGGGGGAAGAGCACTTTATATTACGGAAGAGGGAAAGGGGAAACAAAGAAAGTGACAGGTGCAGGGGAATCCTTTAAATAGACAGCCAACCTACTCCGTAGTCCGTAGACCAGTCCCCGGTGACCCCTACAGTAGGTACTTCATCAGCCCTGCGTCTCGTTGGATGAATGAAGCGCAGGACTAGACTAAGCCTACGCCAACCTGGCCATCCCTCCTAGTGGCAATCGCACCTGCAGGATCCACCGGCCACACAGGGAGACAATCTCTCCATGGGCGGGAGACTGAGTCTAGGGCGTTCCGGGGCGGGCTGGTCTAAGCCCTGTTGGTGCGCAGCAGAAACCCAAAAAGTGAAAAAGAATCCCAAATCTGCCTGGTGAAGGGGAGGTTTGCGTATGCCTGCACCTATTTTTGGCCGCCACCCCGACACAGTCAGCTGCCCGCCCCACTCGGTCTCGCCCATTGATCTCGGAGGTCGGTCCTCCTCTGTGACTGTTTGTTTGTGGTAGTTACGAGGGAGTCTTTTTCTTTTCTTGTTTTTATTTTATTTTATTTTATTTATTTATTTTTCACTTTTCTGTTCTTTTTCTTTCTTTTTTTGTGCATTTGCCTTTTCGTCCTCTCCGTCCAAAGTTTGTCGGTCCTCTCGGTCCTCCCTCTCGGAGTCTCTCCCTCCTTAGCATCCTGTCTCTCCCTCTGGCTCCCTTAGTCGGATCCTTGTCTCACCCATCGCATCCCAAAATAACGGGGTTAGGCTGTATCCATGACTAACGGTTATATCATTCGCTTCTATTTTAACCCTTCAATTGAAGTGCAAGTTGGAAAACAGCACAGGTCTCTGGATTAGCCCACTAGCCACAGGACTTTCCCTACCAAAAGTAGTAAGTAGTAAACAGGTACTCCGTCGACAACTCACTCCGTCGAGGACGGGACGCACTGCAGATTGTCCGATCCGCATAGACCAGCTGGGACGGGAAGGGAAGCCCTCATTCAAATTAACCCCTCCAAATGAATCACTCTTCTGAATTTCTCAAAATTAAATGACTGGGGCAAGGTCAGTTGCCCAGACATCGTCTCCCGCGCCTACCAGTTAGCCCATTGCTTAGGGGTTTCCTAGGGGAAGGTCAAGCCACCGTCATCCCAGCAATAATGCGATATCCTGCAGTAACAGTAACATACTCCGTTGCCTCGACTGATGGCTGTACATACGTAATCCCCAACGGAGAGGACCGAGTCCTTGTGCAAACGGCGCATGGTTCGCAATTCATCCATTCGTGCATTCATTATTCGAGATTCACCCGTATCTGCGAGGCTTGAGAGCTTTGACAGAGTACGAGGCTACGCAACCGTCCTCTCCTTGCCCCATTGGTTCACGGACGCCGCAGGTAAGATTGGATTCCTGCCATCCTACCTGGGGGCTACCTATGTATTCCCTCTCTGGAGTATACATACATACGGAGAGCCAGGAACAAATGCTACAGGGTCCATGTCTAACTAGAACTAAGGTAAGGTAGTATTACGAATAAGGTAGGACACACGCTGCACACACACATACACAGCTACGTCGAGGACGGAGTGCCTACGGAGTAGTTCCCTGGCAAATCTTGACGTATCGTCGAATTCCTCGAGGAGAAAATGGTGAATGGAAAGGAAGAAAGGAATTCGGTCGAATTCACGTCGCACGGAATCAGCCGAAATGCGTCCCTTGTGGCAGGGAGTACGTATGCCCGCCCTGCAGCATCAGCTTGACAGACAGGAATTCCAAGACATTTGGGCCCGGTCTGGAAGAGTCTGCCGTAAGGTACCGTTTCCAGGGGGTTCTTTGAACTTTTACAGTGTACCACCTACCTACTGTGCAGTACTGAATTATGAAACCTCCGAGTGAAGGAAAGGGAGTGCTCCTGTCTGGATGTATTGGTAATTACCGCCCCTCCCTTCTGACGCAAGGGAAATTTAATAAATCAATAACAATGAGTGAACAAGGGTCATGGCAAGGTGTCAATAATATTCCCCCTTCTGTAGGCATGGATTGACTACGGAGTACAGTGCCTGACGATGACGGTATGACCATGACCCTTCTACATCTAGCTCAAGTCCCTCCCCCAATCAAAGACTTAATCTGCCCCAGGACTGGGTGGATCTGCGACAATCTACGTGATGAAAATAAGAGCGATGAAAAATCAAAAAAAAATCCAAAGAATGCGGATACCAGTCCAAGCCTGCGTGGGGACAGACGGAGCAAGACACGGTGGCACCGAAGGGAGCTAAGGACTTAGCCGACATCCATCGCGGGAATGGAATCCAATCGACGGAGGCTGTCAAAAACATGTGGTTCTCTGTCTCGCTCTCTTTCAGACATTCTCACTTCTCTGTTGGCTCTCAATTTCCGTCTATTTTTATATCGAGTCCTTTCGGGGGGTCCGCAGGTTCGAAGCATTCTTCGTTGCGAACGCCGAACGGCCGAGGGAGGGCTGACCGGGGAGACAACGTGGTGGGAGGAGTCAACTGATGTGTCGCTTCTTGTAGATCAAACACCATGTGACACATGTCGTCGGAGCTGTCCGTAGAGGACCCCCAATCAGGCGAAGAGGGCGTCGATGCTATTTTAATCGGGGAGACTCATGCTCCGTATTAATTTGATCCGAAAATAAGTGTCATGGGCAGATGAAAGAGCCGAGAAATTAATTAACCCGCCATATTAAGCGGTATAGCTTAACTCGGAGCATTTCCATTCTTATTAGCTACGGAGTACGAATAATTTGATCGGTCTCTTAGACTTGAAGCTGACCAGACCCTTGATGACGGCCTGAATCAGGGTCCAGGATCCGTAATACATACCTACAGAGTAGTTAATCAATCCTACTCCGTACATAAGATTATGACACCCTCCACTTTAATACGCCGTCGGAGTAGTTTTACTCCCGACATTCTGCAGCCCTCATTTCTGGGTCCTTGCTTGTGTGCTGTACGGTACCTTGCACCTCACACCTCACATGCGGCCACTCGGAGGTGCTCTTGATGCAATCAGAATGATCGAGTCGTTCGAGTACTTCCTGGCTCTTCGAGAATTGGAGGGTAACCTTCATTCTCATTCAGAGCTTGGCAGGATCCATGTCCAGACTGCTCTCTACACTACTGAAAGCTATCACCCGCTATAACTTGAATTCGTTTTCAATCGCTTTCAATGACTTACTATCTTGCTATAATCCTATATGCACAGAGTACATCTTGTTCTTCAGTCAATCACTAACAGCAAAAACACTTACCTCCACTAACCAAGCCCTCACCCCAGCATCTCTCTCACCAAGCCCTCATTCGCGCGCAAAAACTCCCGAAAACCAGTCAACTTCAACCCCAACTCCGCCTCCAACTCCTTCGGATCAAACAGCGTCTGTCGCTCCCAAAACCACAGCTGTATATCAATCTGCACATTCGTCTTCGCCAGCTCCGTCGCCTCCCCCTCGGGAATCCGCTCCACTCGAATCTCCCTCCCACTGACCTCCGCCAGCGCCCCCGCCACCTCCTCCGCCGTCAACGCCTCTGCCCCGATATCAATCGCCCGACCCCGGAACCGTCCCGGCTCCGCGATCACCGCCGCCGCGATCCGCCCGATGTCGTCTGGACTGATCAACATGGTGCGTTTGCCCTCCGCCAACGCCACCCGGAAGACATGCGATGCGGTCAGCTCGGGGAAGAACGCCGACGCTGTCGGGTCGAGGTAGTTTGTCATGAAGACGGGCGGACGGAGGATGGTCCAGTTGGTGAACCCGGACGACCGCACAAGATCTTCGATGGCCGCCTTGTCGAGAAAATAGTTCTTCAGGAGGTTGTCGGCCGGCCAGGTGGTCCAGTTAGGGAAGGATTCGCGCTGCTCGACACCGCATACGCTGGCGTAGACGAGGGTGGTGACGGTGCCGGCGGCGCGGGCGGCGTGGATGACGTTCGTTGCTTGTAGGACTTCGGCGCCGTCGTTGCGGAAGGACGGCGAGACGTTCAGGAATACGGTTGTTTTGTTCTCGCACGCGCGGTGCAGTGACTCCAGGTCGTCGAAGGAGCCTTTGATGAGCGTCGCGCCGAGCCGTTGGAGCTCGAGTGCCGCGGCGCTGCTGGGCGTGCGGACCAGTGCGTGTACTTCGATTCCGCGCGCGAATAGGTGTCGCGCTGTAGCGCCGCCTTGTTTGCCTGTGGCTCCGGTGACGAGGACGCTCATGTTGGCGTGGATGTGAGATGGTGGTGTAGATCGTAGTAGGGTTTTGTATGTATGGGGAAGTCAAGGGAGTAGATTGGTTATATAGTTTACTGAAGCGTAGCTTTTAATTGTAGCCTAGCCTTTTCTCAATGAATAGACAGACTGGTTCTGTTCTTTGCAGCCTTTACTACCTTGCACTTCGTGCATCGTCCCACCTGCATAATCCGGTTACCATGATTATGAATCAATCCTTGTATATTAATAATGTCAAGCCGGGGTTGCACCATTAGGCTCCGCATTATCGTGATTATGAATCAATCATTGTATATTAATTATGTCAAGCTATATATGGCTATATGCAGTTAATAGTGACATGGTAATTCGGCCAAATTGGTCATAAAGTGTACATAGTCGTCACTGAGGGAGTGTAATCACTGCTAATTGAGTCGGTCATATGAGCTTACATGCTCAATTAGTAGATCCTGAAAAGGCCGTCGTTGCTGATTGAGGGGCTTTTGTTCTCTATTCTTCAGTGTTGATATCTTAAGAGACTGCATTGTACACTGGAATTGAATTCTTTTGATAGGATGCTGGAATTGTCTGTTTGGTCAAAAAAGTCATACATATACAAGCTGTCTTGATTGCCATATCAACTCGGATTAAATACATGTACTTCATAGCACTACAAGCATAAATCCATCTTGACGAACCAAATACCCTCCGCCAGTCAGCTAGATGATCCTACAAAGACAGAAAACCCAATGAATTCAAATGTCTCATATAATACATAATACGATATCTATGCTTTTTCCTTCTCAAAACTACTAGCCAGATAAGTGAGCATATACCTACAATACAACCCCATCTAAAGGTCCAATTCACTCACATACTCTACCTAGCCCCCATTAAGGAATATAACCAGGTACGTAGAACAGGTAGCCCCGAACCTAAACACCCACCCCTAACCAGACAATATTCCCCATCTTCCGTCCTCTCAGTCAACTCAAGCCTTTGGGATATCTCCCTTCACCCAGTCTGCGAATTCCTTTCTCTTAGCCTGTCATATCACACCCGTTAGCATATCTTCCATACAAACACATCAATCTATCCATCCATCCATCCATCCAATCCACTTGCTCTATAACTCTCACCAGAGCTCACGACAACAACAAAACCAACTCCAAAAGAGCCTGGGGGGGTGGGGTGGAAGAACATACCCTAACATCCCAAAACCCATACCTCTCATCCAACCTGCGATAGGGATTCCTAGCCCCTCCTTCCCGCTCAATTTGTCCGGCCCATTCGCTCCAGCTAACCGGCTTTAGTTTCGGGGCCCCGAGCACAAGACCCACGGAGACGATGACGAGCGAGACGAGGGCTTCGATGACGATGTCGTGGGGAAGCGCAAGGGAGGAGCTGGCGAGGCGCTCGTTGCTGTGGAGGAGGGTGTGTTCGTGGGCCGAGTAGCCTCTGTTATTGATTTGTGGATTAGCTTGGTTTCTGAAGATTGGGGGTAGGAGGGGATAGGTAGAGGTTGGGTGTGTTGTGCTGTGCTGGGGTCTTGGGTTGGGATTGGAGATGTAGAAGGTACGGTGGATAGGACGTACGCGTGGGCAAGCAGCACGAGGCCGAAGAATGTGGCGAGGCGGGATAGATATCCCATTTTGTCAATAGGTTGAGGTAGGATCGTCGGCGTGGGAGGGGAAGTTCAAGTTGAACTTCAAGGCGAACTTCAAGGCGCTGGAGATAATATCATATCACACTCCGGACTTCATGGCGTATGTAATCGGAGCTCGGAAGTCTGGATTCTACGGTACGCTCGACAGACCACAAGTGCAGGTCTGCAGACCCCGCCGGGCCAGAGAGCCCAAATGCAAGAGTGGGATTCTGGTTGGGCACCGGATTTTGGCCACTCGGCGGGGTAGAAGATCCCAATTGACCAGATATGCTTGATTACAATTACTTATGAATTTACTTGCAGGAGAAAAAGGATGAGATTGAATGTGGGTATTTTGGTTTGTTTTATTCATCAAAACGACCGGAGATCAACCGGTCGAGTTCTAGGTTATTCAAGTTCGTGACATCAAATAATAAAATCCTTCATCACACCATTTCGCTTCATGATTGGACGTTTCATTTACAGCTTCTGCATGGCAGCAACGTCGGTGGACTGGACGTGGTCCTCGTCCTCCTCGATCTGGCCCTGGAGTTCGTCGGTGGAGACCTTGTCGTCCTCAACGACCAGGTTGATCTGGAGCTTCTTGATACCGAAGCCAACGGCAACGAACTTGGAAGCACCCCAGACAAGACCGTCCATCTCGATGGCACGGACGTTAGCCTCGAGCTCCTCAAGGTTGGTCTCATCATCTGTAAAAGTGAGTTAGCACGGTTCGACAAGGACAGAAAGCAACAGAAATACATACCCCAAGGCTTAACCTCAAGAGTCACGAGAGACTTAGCAACGGGCTTGGGCTTAGCGGCCTTCTTGGCCTTGTAAGCGGCAAGGTTGGCCTCGCGCTCCTTGACGACCTCGGGGTCCTCCTCCTCGCTGTCGGAGCCGAAGAGATCCATGTCGTCGTCCTCCTCGGGCTTGTTCTTGGGGTTGGTGGGCAGGTCGGTGGACTCGGGGCCGTAGGCAGTGTAGGCCTTGGCGGAGTCACCGGGGAGAGAGCCGAAGTCAGACTCGAAAGAGGCGATGTGCTTGTACCAGCGAGCGACGTGAGGGTACTTCTCGGCGTCAGGAGCGCCGGAGAAGGCCTTGAAGGTCACGGCATCAGCCTGGGAGGGGGCGTCGCTATGAGGAAGGTTAGCCAAATGCAGTCCAACACAGCAAGTATTGATAACAAGTTTCAATCATAAAAAGCAGCAAATGACATCTATAGATGTATCCTTCCTGGTGATCAGAAATGCGATTGCTCGCGATTGTTGTGTAGTCTTGCAGCGGGGTCTTAATCCGCCTCATAAACACGGACCAATTGATTTTCATCATGCAAACAGGAACAGCTGGAACATAAAGCACACAAAAACATGCAAGAAACATATCAAAGGGGAAAAGTCAAGGGTTGTCTTACCCAACAACGTAGCTCCGGGTAGAGAAGAAGTTGTTGGCAACTGAGGGGTACAATTAGCTTCCTGCATAGAGTGTGTGGGAAGACGAGAGGGGGAGAAGAGGGGGTTAAAAAGACTGGGAGAAGAAAAAAGAAAAGAGGAGATCACGTACGGGTGAGGCCAGTCTCAGAAACGAAGTCGGTGAAACCCATTGTGAAGGATTATGTATGTGAGGTATGAAGAGTGTGTTGGAAAGGAGGGAAAAAGTTGAGGGAGGGAGGGGAGTAATAAATAGGAGGGGAAAAATGTTCAAAGCAATTTCTTTCCGTTGCGAATTTTTTCGGCGCCAAAAAAGCCCCTCGACGGGGCTGCACGTGACCCACCCACTGGTGACGGAGCTTCTTGGAGCTTCCGCCACTCATCGGCACCGCAGTGGAGCTTTCGAGAAGCGTCACGACGCTTGGGGTCCTCGGGGTATATAGCCACCGCCATGGGCCTCGTTTTTCAGGTCTCCTCGACTGCCTGAACTCTGCGAACACCTAGAACCCTTCCATTTCAGTGTGTTCTTAAGCCATGGCTTCCCGGCTGCAGCTCACTCGGAGCCGTTTGCTTCGTACACCAGCTCTATCGCCCAACCGCATCATTCACCCTTCCCAGAGATTAAGTTTTCTCCCTCAGACGCGATCACTCCCTGCCCTCACCAGTAACACCGTATTCTCCCCGACAATTCTTTCAACGCGCAGCTATGCCAACGGAGGACGGCCTCACCCGCCCGGAGGTACCCATCGGATGAACCTTGGGGGCGAGGAAGAAAAGTCTGCGCTCGAACAGTACGGCGTTGACCTTACTGCCAGAGCAAAGGCCGGAAAGTTGGATCCGGTCATTGGAAGAGACTCTGAAATCCACCGGACCATTCAGATCCTGTCGAGGCGGACCAAAAACAACCCTGTCCTCATCGGTGCGGCCGGTACTGGTAAAACAGCCGTCCTGGAGGGCCTGGCTCAGAGAATTGTGCAAGGGGATGTGCCCGAAAGCATCAAGGACAAGCGCGTGGTGTCCTTGGACCTGGGCTCACTCATAGCTGGAGCTAAGTTCAGAGGAGACTTCGAGGAACGACTCAAGTCGGTTCTTAAGGAGGTCGAGGACGCACAAGGCGGTGTGATCCTTTTTATTGATGAGCTCCATACCTTGCTTGGCCTCGGAAAAGCGGAAGGCAGCATTGACGCTAGCAACCTTTTGAAACCTGCGCTCTCCAGAGGCGAGCTCCAGTGCTGCGGCGCCACCACATTGAACGAATATAGATTGATCGAAAAAGACGTCGCGTTGGCCCGACGATTCCAGCCAATTCAAGTCGGAGAACCCTCGGTCGCTGCGACAATTTCCATCCTGCGCGGTATTAAAAATAAATACGAGGTCCATCACGGTGTGAGAATCTTGGACAACGCCCTGGTTGCCGCAGCAACTTACAGCAACCGCTACATCACAGACCGCTTTCTTCCCGACAAAGCCATCGATCTAGTGGACGAGGCGGCCTCGGCCTTGCGATTGCAACAAGAGTCCAAGCCCGATGTAATTCGAGAGTTGGATCGCGATATCACTACCATTCAGATTGAACTCGAATCTCTCCGCAAGGAAACGGATGTCAGTAGCCGAGAGAGACGCGAGAAATTGGAGGAGGACCTCAAGGTCAAGAAGGAGGAAGCCCAGAAACTGACCGAGATATGGGACAAAGAGAAGGCGGAGATTGAATCGCTGAAGCGCACCAAGGAGGAACTAGAACAGGCCCGCTTCGAGCTGGAACAGGCCCAGCGAGAGGGAAACTTCGCTAGAGCCGGAGAGCTTCGGTACGCCGCGATCCCGACTCTGGAGGCTAAATTGCCCAAGGAGGGCGAGGAAAAAGGATCAGGAGGATCTCAATCATCTTTGATCCACGACTCTGTCACCGCCGATGATATTGGAAATGTCGTTTCTCGCACAACCGGCATCCCTGTCAACAAACTCATGGCTGGAGATGTCGAGAAACTAATCCGCATGGAAGACACGCTGCGGCAGTCTGTGCGTGGGCAAGACGAGGCACTCACCGCGGTCGCCAATGCCGTTCGGATGCAGCGAGCTGGTCTGAGTGGAGAGAACCGGCCCTTGGCATCATTCATGTTCCTTGGTCCCACTGGTGTTGGAAAGACGGAGCTCTGCAAGAAGATGGCCGAATTCTTATTCTCCACTGAGACGGCTGTAGTGAGGTTCGACATGAGTGAATTCCAAGAGAAGCACACCATCAGTCGCTTGATCGGTTCTCCCGCGGGTTACGTTGGCTACGATGATGCCGGTCAACTCACCGAAGCCGTGCGACGGAAGCCATATGCCGTGTTGCTGTTCGACGAGTTCGAAAAAGCTCACCGCGATATTTCCGCCCTTCTATTGCAGGTCTTGGACGAGGGCTTCCTCACCGATTCTCAGGGTCACAAGGTTGATTTTAGGAACACCCTTATTGTCTTGACTTCCAACCTTGGTGCAGACATTCTGGTGGGTGCGGACCCACTGCATTCCCACAAGGACTTGGGAAGTGAAGAACTCTCCCCTGAGATCAAGAAGGCTGTCATGGATGTGGTCCAAACTTCGTATCCGCCCGAATTCCTAAACCGTCTTGACGAGTTCATCATCTTTAGACGTCTGTCCAAGGATGCTCTAAGAGACATTGTCGATATCAGAATCAAAGAACTACAGGCAAGACTCGATGACCGACGCATGATTCTGCAAGTGGATGATGAGATCAAGAGCTGGCTGTGCGAGAAGGGATATGATCCCAAGTACGGTGCTCGTCCTCTCAACCGCTTGATTTCCAAGGAAATCGGCAACCGACTGGCCGACAGGATCATCCGTGGTGAGATCACTTCTGGGCAGACTGCTCGTGTTTCATTCAATGATGACAAGACGGCGCTTGCAATCACACCGGAACCGGCGAATGTAGAGGATATTCCAGAGGCTCCCGAAGCTTCGGAGGCCGAAAAACCGTAATGTCTCTTATGAATCAACGCGCCTTATTTGTTTTTTGACGTTGCATGATTTGGATCTTTGAGCTTTGTTGATTATTGGGTGGATTTGCACCAGACGAATCCTTGCTCCATCTGTATATGTGTATAATAGCATCTCCTCTACTATATTTTATGTGAATTGATTGTATATGACTTATGGATCTCAATATCTGGGTTATCTATGCCTCTTAATATAATCCTTATCACGAGATCTGGGAGCCTGAGGTATGCAGCCGCTTCAAGGTCATCAATCCTTAGAGCCGAAACCAGTCCCATCCTCATCCCCATTCTCTCCATTCTCATTTAAGCTATGGATCCACCCATCAGAAGGCCATCGCAATCCCTCTGCAATGCAGCAACTTTTCTTCTGTCGAGACGTACCTCAAATGCCACTCCCCGTCCTGTCACTCAGCGGTCGTCGCCGTCAAGCTCTCAGAGAAATCCTGCGTCGATCATTCCTCCATCGCCTGTCTTCATACACAGCAGGATCAATGATCATCCAGATGATCAGCTCATTGATGATGTCTTCGATCAAGTTATAGTGGCTATTGATACAAGGGATTCCGGCACCGTTGGCTGCTCATACTACTCGGCTCGTGAGGAGAAGCTGTATATGCTAGGGGATATGCAGTCATCAGGTACTGACGTGATTGATACAAGTACGTTTTCTGCTTATGGTTAGCGATATAACATACTGAATTGCTACTAGTAATCTTCCAGACCAAGCCTACCGTGATATTAGCTTCGCCTCGAGTTGACTATGTGCACGGCCAAGGAAGGTCAGGGTCGGAACAAGACAATAGTAAGAATTTTCAATACATTCACATGGAAAGCGCGAAGAATAACTCGATAGCAGGCTCGGAATCATATCTCCCTTACCAAATCGATATACGACCGTCCCAAGAATTCGGTCATGCTAGCGCAATGTCCAAGCTGGTGTCTCTTGATGTCTCGTCGAAGCATGAAGAGCGGATTAGATTCCTTGTACCTCATGCGGGAATATTCGACCCTGACCAAATGGATACTGAAAGCTTGGACTTCACTTTGCAAGAAGGGCGTCTTCTACATATGGGTGGCTCAATCGAACTGCAGAACACGGTGACAATGGGCTGTGCTGGCGCTATCCTGACTCATCTGCAAAGGCGAAGAGCCACGATGTCATCTGGGAATGGATCTATAGAGATCTTCCGCGTTGCCTCCGTCGAGATGATGGGATTGAAAGGGACCATGTAAGATGCTGCATATACTTCCCTGATCTCAAGAATGCGTCTTACGAAGAATATCATAGGTTTGTCAACTCAAGAACTTTGCTTTCGCTTCAAATTATGGAGTCCGAGTCACATCCATGCATGATCAGTCAAGGAGCTGGAATAAAATCTTCGTCTGCGAAGGAAGGACTTTCAGTCTACGGCTTATTTCAAAGATTCGCTTTTACACCTCAAGGTAAAAACATGCTCAAACAATACTTTCTTCGTCCAAGTACCGAGATAGACGTGATCTCCGAACGACATAAGTTTATTAATGTATACCTGAGGCCGGACAATTTCAATGCTCTCAACAAGATTGTCAGAAGTTTGAAGCACGTCAAGAACCTCCGTTATGTCTTAATCAATCTTCGGAAAGGGATTAGTACCGGAAGTGCGAAAATCACTGGCTTCAAAACGACCGTTTGGGCTACTCTTCTGGCCGTATGTCGAGTTAACCAAATAATTTTTGATAAGGCGCCTGTTTGACTGCTTTTTAGTTTGCCTTCTACGGCATCGACATTCACGATGCCCTCAAAGAAACCTCCACTGGGTGTAGGCTTGAATTGCACCAGAAGGTCAAGCTGTTGGCTTCCATTTACTACGTTAAAGCTGACAAGTCCTCAGGCCCTTCGAGCTATTGAGACTGCCCAGCTTTATAAAGTTGGGAGAATGGTCCAAGAAATAGTTAGTACCATCTCACACTCTCAAACCTTGAGTAACCGCTTTAGGTCGACATCGATAGCTCCGAGGAGCAGGGCCGAACAGTTGTAAAGCCAGGGCTTGATCGAGAACTTGATAAAATGAAAGATACCTACGATGGGCTGAGCAGCTTGCTCAAGCAAGTCGCCATAGAAATTGCTACGACTATTCCCGAAAGTCTTGAAATCAACGTCAACGTGATATATTTTCCACAACTCGGCTTTAACATCGCCATTCCGTTGACTGAAAGGGGCGAAGCATCATACGTCGGGCCTGTGGACGATTGGGAGCTTGTTTTTGTAACGGAGAATCGGGCGTATTTCAAGGACTTCCGAATGAGGGAACTGGACCAGACTTTGGGGGATATTTATGGGCTTATATGCGGTATGTATAAAGCCTTATGAACTGTCCAATATGCTAATATTGTTTTCGGTCTCCAGAAAAGGAGATTGAGATTGTTTATGAGTTAGCACAGAAAGTGCTTCAGTACGAAAAGGTCCTCATCGAAGCATCGGATGTCTGCGGTCAGATTGACTGGTATATGTCTCATATACCTAAGCAAAGATCTTACCTCACGTTTTATAGTGTCCTTGCAATGACGCAAGCTGCAAACTTCTATAAATTAGTTCGTCCCAATATGACAGAGCAGAATATTCTTCGAATCAAAGGAGGACGGTAGGTAATGCAAGCTATCTGAATTAGCAAGAAACACTGACAACACGAAAGTCATATACTCCAAGAATTGACTGTCTCGTCGTATGTTCCAAATAATACATTACTTGTCGGGGGGATACTAGACGCCGAAGCCCCGGAGTCAACACATCAGTCTTCAAAAAAGACACCAAATATGCTCCTATTGACCGGTCCCAACTACTCTGGGAAGAGTGTTTATATGAAACAAGTAAGTGTAGCAGCCTCTTTGAAGAGATGCATTTCTCAAAATAAAACAGGTTGCACTTGTCGTCTATCTGGCGCAAATTGGAAGGTGTGCAAGTTGTAATTCCCAGTCAATTATGCATACACATAATGAAGTGCCATAGTTTCGTCCCAGCAGAGAGTGCAGAAGTCGGAATCACCGACAAAATCTTCTTCAAATCAAACACTCAAGACAGTGTTTCGCAGGTGAAGAGAGAAAACCAAGTCAATTCCCTAATGAAAGTTACTCACAACAGTAGATCCAAAGCACATTCATGAACGATCTGCAACAAATGTCATTTGATCTGAAGCAGGTGACAGGCCGAAGCTTGCTGTTGATTGACGAGTTTGGCAAAGGAACGAACCCAAATGGCTCGTATCACCATTTCCATCGAAATTATCCAAGCTAGCTAACAAGGTGCCTTGTATTCAGATGGCATCGGATTAGCATGTGGAGTCCTCCAGCATCTACTGGGACTTGAAGACGCCCCCAAGATCATATTTGCAACACATTTCCATGAAATCCTCAATCACCAGCTCATAAAGCTTGGTCCCCGACTACAACTAGCTCATATGGAAATCAAAATTTGCGAAGACACCCATCAATCCGGAGACCAAATCACATATCTCTACAAGTCTGAGCCCAGCCTATGATATCATTTGATGGCTACGTCCCATTATACTAACTTGTACGGTCAATAGTTTCCGACTAGGCCGAAGCAACAAGAGTTTTGGAACAGTGTATGTCTCTTTTTCCTTCCTTTAATATCTAATCTGACGTGCGAGATACAACATAGCTGTGCGGCCATGAATGGAATCAGCCAGCCAATCGTTGACCGGGCAAACGAACTCATATCCCTTGCAACTCGTGGCGAGAATTTAGTTGCTGCTTGTGCCGTGTTATCAGCCGAGGAGATGAGTATGCTGGAGAAAGCGGTATGATATCTCCGGGGTATTCGTACCGGCTGCCTGGGAATTGTTGAAGACTAATCAAAAGTGAACCGCAGGATAAACTGGCAAGAAAGTTTCTTAGTTTTGATCTTTCAGATAAAGGCGACTTGGATGATGCGGACAGGGTGCTGGACAGGCTCTTTGGGGTTGATGGTTGATCTCCAGCATTGTTCATTCTCCTTTCCCCTGGATGGAACGGACTGAGGGCGTAAGGTTGTCAAGGATGACGAATGGATGCATGCCCGTGACAGTTATATCTTAAGAGTTATATACCTTTACCGCTTTAATCGGCTCAGTGAGCAAGACGTGAGGGAAAAGCACTGAATCGGGTAATGAAAAGACATTAGCCTGTCCAAAAGATCTAGTAATATATGTACACGCAATAAGAAAATCCATTTTGATATCACATATAGCAACGCCCAGAACCAACCCAAGGCTAGAGTTTAACACTTTTAACCAGGTTCTTCTTGATACCTGTAAGTTCACCAGCGTAGCCGCCACGACCTTCACCACCCTTGTACTGCTGTCGAATACTACTCAGCTTCTTCTTCTTATCTTCGAATCTCTTCCTCTTCTTGACACGAGGGTTGCGCGAGTCCTTGTTCCGCTTAGCCGCAAGACCCTTATTCTTCATGATCTGGTACGAAATAGCTCGTTTGCCGTCCGGTCCAATCTCCTCCTGGACCTCGACTTGTCCACCCTCACGGGCGGCCTGCGCGTAGGCATCGGCGCGAGCCTTCTTGTCGTCCTTGCGCTTGTTGGTCCGGGACGCCACCATGTCGTAGTATTCGTCATCATCGGTGCCGGCTCCTTCGCCTCGCAATTCGTGGGCGACCCGACGGTCCTCGTCGTCACTGTCGCCGCCAAGCTGTTCGGCTCCCTTGGGTTGCTGGCGACCACGCTTCTCGGCTTCCGCGTTTAAGCGGGCCTGGCGATCCCTCAGGCGCTCGCGGTAAGGTAGATCTGCATCACCACCAGCATCCCGGCCGGCCGCGGTACGCTTGTTCGCCTTCTGGGCGAGCTGCGAGGTGTAGAAGCGGAGGGAGCGTTTCTGCTTAGCCTTCTCCTCGGCTTCCCGAGCGGTGAGGGCTTCTTCGTCACCGAAATCCGAATCGTCATCCTCCTTGGCAGATCTCTTCGTCTTTTGAACGGCGCGCTTCGTGCCGGGCGCCGTGATAAGGTCGGATAGATCGGCAAGATTTGCGTCTGTCTTCTTGAGTTGCTCTGCTCTGCGAGCGTCGGCTTCGGCCTGGGCCGCCTCAGCGACGCGCTCAGCCTTGGACAATTTCCGCGCCTTCTCCTTAGCTTCCTTTGTCTTCTTGCTATCCTTCTTAGTTGTGGGTGCGAGATCCAGTTCCTCCTGCTCCTCGTCGCTGTCCACCTCGGAAGGCTCGGGGTCGCTAAGATCCTTAACCTTCTCCCAAAGCTTTCGGGATTTGACGAGAGATCCCATAACCGGGTGGGCGCGCAGGTCGGCCGGCGAGAGGGCAGCCGCCTTTCCTTCCGTGTCATTTGCTGGGGATGTCAAGAGCATGAAGTAGAGACCAATTGTGCCGAGATAAGCCGACAAAGCGCGGAATTTAATGACAGAAACAGGGGGGGCGTCCAAGGTGTCGTCGTTAATCTCTGTTACGCTCGCAGCCTGTGCAAGCTCCTGGTGTACCGACTGAAGGTCACTGAGATCTTTGGCCAGCGGTTCGAATTCGGGGTATCTTGATTTCAGGATCTTCAATTTCTCTTCCTCGCTCAGGTCTTCGGAGATTTCGGCCTGCGGCAGGACTTCCGTTACCACGCCGGCTTCGGCCTCTCCGTCATCCTTCTCTTTACCGGATTCCATCCACTCGGATTCGTCGAAACCAAAGTCGGCCTCGTTCATTGCCTCCAGCTGCTTCTGTTGGAGTCGCTTCGCCTCCTTTTCTTCCTCGAGCGCATCGGCCTCCGTTTCGATCTGGTCGGCATTGTAGAGATCCTTCTTGGAAGAGCCCCAGGCGGCTATACCTTCGTCGTCCTCGTCATCGGAGCCGCCGCGTCGCTTTTTCTTCCCTAAGATGTCCTCGTCATCGTCGTCATCAACACCGTCCTCATAGTAGCCGTCTTCTTCGTCATCATCCAAGTCGTCTTCGTCTACGGACTCGTAGCCCATGACCTCCTCATCGGAGGGTTGAATAGCTTGCTCTGTGACCCCGCATGATTAGAGATAGATTCAATATGAGTACCGGGGAATTGAGAGCAGCTCACCATCCTCGATCAATTTCCGGCGTCTTTTCGCATCGGGGGCTTCGTCCAGTAGAACTTGATCGCGACCGGTTTGAAATTCGTCCTCTGAGTCGTCGAACCTCTCTTCGACAGCAAATTTGGTCTTTTCCGGGGCAGGCGCATTTCTAGCGGCAGGACGACCGCCGGCCTTTCTTTTCTTCGCCATGATTTATGGATCGTAGGGAATCTGGACGAGACTACAAAACTCCGGCGCTCTCGCATCGATAAACTTTTGATAAAATTTTGGGGCGGGTCTCTCACCGCCCGCAGTACGCTAAGCCATGTCGGGGGTGTTTGTGCTATTTGCTTTTTCATACATGATGATACATTGAGATGGAGAGAGTCCCCGCTTAACTACGATACGGTACGGTTATGTGCATACCGGCCAGTCGCTCTCCTCCTTCCGCCTTCCGCCTTCCGCCTTTCTCCTAACTCAACATACGAAACAACTAAACAGGCAGGCTCCCCCCATTTGAACGTGTAAGGAAGCCTCGGACGGCGTGTTGACATTCCCTCTTCTTCTTCCCCTCCGTTTCTTCCTTTCTTTCTTCCTCATGCATCCTCCAATACTATCGTTCAACTTGCATGACTTATCGCCCACCCAGCTGGGAATCTCAGTCGTTCTCTTCGGATTCTTCGTATATACCGCTAGCAAAATGCTTGGCTTCGGAACTCGTAACGAGTTTGTGGTGGACGGCCGGGTGAGTCTACTTGATCATCTCCTCATCTCAGGGGCAGTTGACTGACACTTCGCTGGCAGACCATCGTGATCACCGGTGGCTCCGAGGGCATGGGCAAAGCCACTGGCTCCCTGCTTGCCGAAAAGGGTGCCAATGTCGTCCTCGTTGCACGCACCACTGCGAAGCTGCAGGAGTCCTTGGAAGTTGTCAAGGTACGTGCTCTTCTTCTCCCTAGTTGCTTGGCACTCTGCTCACGAGTTTCCCCAGGGGTCCGCTGCGGACTTCAAGAAGCAGAGATTCCACTTCATCAGTGCCGACCTGACCAATCCCGCCGAGTGCGAGCGGATGATCGAAGAGGTCACGGAGTGGAACGGCGGTCTTCCTCCCGATGTTGTCTGGTGCTGCGCCGGCTACTGCAACCCGGGCTTCTTCATTGACACGCCCGTGCAGATGCTCCGGGACCAGATGGACACGGTCTACTGGACTGCTGCCAACACCGCTCATGCCGTGCTCAAGAAGTGGCTGATGCCCGTCGGTCCCAGCGAACAGCAGGCCCTGCCTCGCAGACATTTGATCTTCACTTGTTCCACTCTTGCTTTTGTTCCCATTGCTGGCTATGCCCCTTATTCCCCTGCCAAGGCTGCCATTCGTTCTTTGTCCGATACACTCAGCCAGGAAATCGAAATGTACAACGGCTCTCGCATCACCAAGACCCGCTGCGAAGCAACTCCCGCCGACGTCAAGATTCATACGATCTTCCCCATGGGCATCTTGAGTCCCGGCTTTGACAAGGAACAACGATTGAAGCCCGAGCTCACCAAGCAACTGGAGGCCGCTGACAAGCCCCAGTCCCCCAAGGAGGTTGCGAAGATCTCGATCGAGGCTCTGGAGAGGGGCGAGTACCTGATCACTACGATGTTTGTTGGCCATGTGATGAAGGGCAGCGCTCTCGGCGGCAGCCCCAGGAACTACGCTATCCGCGACACCTTGACCAGCTGGATCAGCAGCTTGGCATTCCTGCAGGTCACTCCCGATCTCCGCAGACAGGCTTGGAACTGGGGGGTGAAGTATGGTCTTCCGCCATCCAAGGCTCGGGCATGATTTCGCATGTTACGACTGGTCTGATGCTGTACATTAAATACCCTGCAGTGCTTTCTTGTGTTTATCCTTATAGCCTTTGACATTCCCGTCCTTTGAAGCATATCCATAACATACGATAATGACATTAGTTCGTCTCCCTTTGGCACTTCCTGCCTTTGTCGGTCCACGGACAATGAATGAAAAGCTATCCTTTCTTTTGAACTGTCTCCTATTCTCTGGTAGTGATTATATCATCGAGTAGACTTGCATCAATTGATGTTGTCTCCTATCGACCAGAAGCTACCACACAGCAAGAACGGGAGATATATATCTCAACCGTGACCAGAATATATACTCAGAACCTCGAGTTATTCAACATGTACAGTAAAAATAAACCCACTAAAAAGACAACTGAAACCTCAATAGGCATCATCCACATAAAGGCCCCTTGATCTCTCGCTTTCACAGCGAAGCGCAACCATGGGAAGGCGGAGGAACAGTCGAGCCTGCAGAACAAAGATGGGGGCCCGAGTAGGCTTAGCGTAGGGCTTGCCGCCGATCGGAGTGACGTCGAGGCCGTCGAGGGCGCGACCGCAAAAGCCCGCGCTCTTTGCAGTTTGCGACGATGGCTGGGAATTTAGTCCGTCCCACTTCCCATCCATTATTTTTATTCGATTCTTTGATTGTCCGGCTCTTTGTTCCAACGGTTCCTGGGACACTCTCATTCAGAATGCCAACCGGCAGATGAACCATAGACCCTTGAAGTTTCCAGGCGCCATATATAACCCGACCACGGCGTCGTCGCCGTCCCGACCGTCATCATGCTGGACGCCCTCTTCTCGCTGCCAATCATGACTGTCCTACTCATTCCGGCCCTGTCGTCCTATAGCACGACTCTGAATTTCATCTTCTTCTACATGACATGGACAACCTTGGTACTGTCGCACACGCCCCTCCGCGTTGAATTGTTCGGCACCATCGCCGTGCGCGTGATCTTCTGCTTCTTACCATCGTTGCTGTTCTTCCTATTCGATATCCTCACGCCCTCTGCTGCGGCGTTTATCAAAGTTCATGGCGAAGCTGGTCTTCCTAGTGGTGGTCGACGGGCCAGACTCCGACTGGAGACTGTCAAAGTGGCCGGATGGTCACTGCTGAATATCTTCCTGAGCGTTGTGGTGCAGGCGGCCATCGAGAAACTTCGAATCGATGGCATGCGCATGCGCAGCGCGGTGAAGGTGTCTATCAAATTGCCCATGCCGTTCGAGATCGTCAAGGGACTGCTTGCTGCTCTTTTGGTCCGCGAGGTGAGCTCTCCCCTACATCTGCCTTTTCTCTCCCGCCCCTACTTGCCCAGTTTCGAGCTCAAACTAACATGATCATGTCGCTGTAGGTCCTCGCATACTTTATCCACCGCTACCTCCTGCACTCCCGAGATCGCCGACTCTCCTTCATCACCAAAATCCATCGCTCCTGGTACCACTCCCTTCGCATCCCCTTCCCCCTCACGGCGCACTACGACCACCCCGCCCTCTACCTCCTCGGCACGTTCCTGCCGACGTACACTCCCGCCGTGCTGTTCCGCATCCACATGCTCACCTACCTGTTCTACATGGCGTTCGTCTCCCTCGAAGAGACCTTTGCCTTCTCCGGCTACTCCGTCATGCCCGGCAAGTTCCTCCTCGGCGGTATTGCCCGTCGCACCGAGATCCACCTGTTCAGCGGCGCGGAGGGTAACTTCGGGCGCTTCGGTCTGATGGATTGGGTTTGTGGGACGCTGGTTGCGGACGACGAGGATGATGAGGGTGGGCAGCGCAAGGATCTGGCGGATAAGGTGCAGCGGGCGGTAGATGAGAGTACGAGCCGGAAGTTCTATGATCGGAGCCGGTTCAAGAAGAAGGGAAATTGAGTCGGTTCGTTCCTTTGGTCTGTCTTCCCATTGATTGATCTGTTGGTTGATTAGTTAAACGGATGGACATTCAGTTGCGAAGCGACTTTGGTGGTGAATTTGCCTTTGGGATTTGGTGCGGTACATATGGGAGGGAGGAATTAGTCTTTTTTATTATTTGCCGCTGTGTGTCTGTATTTGTTGGAGGGGTCGATTATCTTGTACACGTCTACTTTGTGTGCTATATGTTGCTACGATGTCATTGAGCCATGTATTTTGAGGATTGGAGATTAGAACCGGATACTGCAATGATGCACGCACTTAGTCGGTAGCTTAGGATAGACTATAGAGAAACCGGGGAAGGTGGATAAGAAATCAATTCCTGGGGATTCATTCGCCACTATCGGGGATTGATTAGGGCACACCCAAACCGATTTAGAACGACTTAACGGATAGTTACAGTAGAATCTCCGACGAATCCTGTACGGAGTACGTATGTATATATAAGAACTGTTTATTATAAAAGAGATAGCCGACCCTAATATCGATAATACATACTGAATATAGAGTGGTAGCAGTTTTTTTTTGGTCTTTTTGCCTTGTTTTGTGTTTGAAATTCATATTGCAGCTCATTTATCAAAGAAAACATAACTGAGAAACAAGTTTTCCTGCAAGATCAGCAATCCAAAGAGGATCGTGCGAGATGGAAAAGAAACCAAGGTAACGAGCTAGGTTCCGTGAAACAGAGGGAGGGATTTGGTTTGTGTTTTTTTTTCTTCCGAATTGACCGTAAATCCTAATAAGAGCAAAATCGGGACTCCGAATCGAAGTTACATATTTCATGAAAGCTTTGGTTCTTTTTCCTTCCCTGCGTTGACCCTTTTTTTATCCCCCCTTCCTGTCTTTCCATCCTTGTTCCCTCCCCCAAATCCTGAACTCGAGGTATCGAGGTAGGATTGGGAGAAGTAGTAAAGGGTAGAAAAGAAAAAGAAAAAAAGCAAAAAAAAAGACTGCCAATCCGCATTCTAAGCCGCCCCTCACATTTAAGAAGAATTTCCTCCACACTTCAAATCACCGAACCCGCGGCCGCCGCATCGACATGTTTACCACTTCATCTCGTGGGGCTTGTCGCCGTTCCGCAGGCTGAAAGAGGTAGCGAGGTAGCTGCCGAGGAAGTTCTCCTTCTTGACGGAAGCGAGGATGGACTGGTCGACGGACTTCTGGTCGCTGGCACGAGCGCTAGCAACGACCTTCTTCTGTAGAGTCGAAAAAGAACCTAGTTAGTTATTTGTCTTCTTCCAAGGAGATATCTTCATCTCTTTCCCCGCTTATCTAGAGTTTCTTTCCCCAGATGCGTCTAGAAGGATATATCCCATAATGAAAAGCGCAAGCTCTGGTCTGCACGTACCTGGGGCTTCTCTCCCTGCTTGAAGAAAGCCTCCTCAGTCTTCTTCTCGTTGACCTTCTCCTTGGTGAAGTAGTCGGCGGCGGAGACCTTCTCGAGAGTCTTGGCGTCAACACCGCTGATGTCAACCTGAGTGCTGGTGGCGATCACGTAGCGGGAGTTCACACGGCGGAGGGGAACACCGTTGATCTTGAAGGGACCAGTGACGAGGAGAACACCCTGGTCGAGGTGCTTCAGGAGGACGACACGCTTGCCGCGGAAGCGACCGGCAAGGAGGATCAGAACGGTACCGGGCTTTAGGCTCTCACGGAGCTTGGTGGGACGGACAGCCTTGCGGACCTAGATTGTTGCAACAAAAATTGTCAGAATACTTGTTTCTGTTTCCCTGGTTTGTCGAAGAGGTGTGGAATTTGCGAAAAAAGGATGAGGATATAGTAAATCATGCGAAAACGAAAGATGCGATCCCGTTATTAACACAAACTCCAGGTTTCTGTTCCCCAATTCACACCGGTCGTTCTGGTCCTGGCGGATTTCGACCGGCGCAATTGTCGCAGTTGTTTCCAAAATAACGGACCAGCATCTTCCATTGACGCAGGACTTTCTTGTGTGTTCTTGTGCTTTCTTGATTTTCCTTCAGGATGTACTGACTTTCCGGGCCTGCCTCTCGTCATCAACGGGGTACCATTTCTGGGCCTTCTGGGCCGGCACGGTCCTCTGGCCCTTTCCAAACTGCTTCGTCTGGCCAACAGTAGAGTCCGACATATTGGCTGCTGGGGACGAAGAGAAGTCGAAAAGAATGAAGGGGGTGGTTGTCGACGGCGGGTTGTTGGAATTGATGTGTGACGGTCTACTTGCGGCCCAGGGCGGGAAATCTGAGGTTTGTGGGAATCACGAGCCCTAGCCGAAATGCGCTAGTGCCGATTTGGAGCGCCCGCGATACCGCCCGATAGTGGCCTAAGGCCGCCACCCAAGGGAGCCGCACAGCGACCTAGAACGCACCGTGAGGGGCTGACTCAGCCGGTCCGATGTTGTTGCCGCTGTGCTTGAACCGAACTGACGTATCTTCTCTTCCGCGCCAGCAGCTTCTTCCCCATCCTCGGCGAATCACTCTTGTCTGGGGCATCATCACAAGTCGATCTACTTTCATTCTTCTTGTTTTGCATAATTGTTATTGACGACTCATTCTTCGATCATGTCTATCGCCCCCATTATTACCTTCAAGGCGGGCATCTGTGACCTGGATGTAAGTAGCAGGCTGAGTGAGAAAGCAGCTTCGAATCATCCAAGCTCTTGGCTAACTGCAGTTGTCCATAATCATAGACGTCCAGTGACACCCCCATCGTCAAACCTAAGACGACGCCCGGCTACATCTATCTCTATTCGGAAGATGAATTGGTACACTTCTGCTGGCGGCCGCGGTCCGCTCCTCACACGGAGCCCGAACTGGACTTGGTGATGGTCCCCTCGGACGGAAGCTTTTTGCCCTACAAGCCCGCCGGCAACAGCACACCCACGAACGGTCGCGTCTACGTCTTGAAGTTCTCCTCCAGCTCCCAGCGGTACCTTTTCTGGCTACAGTCCAAGTCCCAGCACGAGCGAGGCGATGCGAGCTGGTTCAGCCCTCGGGACCTCAAGCTCGGAGATATCGTCAACACGCTCCTTCAGGGTGAGGAAGTCGACGTGGAGGATGAAATCGCCAACCTTCCTAGTGGGCCCGGCGGCGGCGACGATGACGAGACTATGGAGGATGTCGAAGGTGTCGACCACGACCCGAGCCATAACCACGGCGGAAACAGTGGCGGAGCGGGCCCGGATGCTACCGGTGGAGATGTCAGAGAGGAAGGCCAAGAGTCGAGGGAGGGTGGTGCCGACGGCGGAAGAGCGTAGGTACAGATCTCTGTTTTTCTTTTGCCAGTCTTCCGCAGCATTTCTTCTGGCTGGACAGGCCCACGTCAAACCCGCTTTTGTCTTGATCGTACTGTGAATCATGTGCTAACGCTAACACCGCAATAGTGCCGCAGATGACTCGGATCCTTCGTCGGTCGTGCAGAACTTCTTGCAGTCCATCCAAGGGAAATCGACCAACCAACCCCAGGACCCTGACAGACCATTTACTACGCTGCAAGACCTCCTTCCACCATCAGCTACGCTTCCTTTTGTTGAATCCGCGGACGACAAGACCGTCGACAATCTTTTGAGCTTCCTACCCCCCACGCTTCTTCTGTTGGCCGCCGAAGTGGAGGATGTGCCTGCCGAGGATAGCTCGGAGATCGCGTCCGCGGTCATGGAGTCTCTGGAGCTGTCGCAAAAGAAGGGCATTCTTCGCAAAGTGCTACACTCGCCGCAGTTTACGCAGAGTCTGGCGAGCCTGACGACGGCTATCCGAGACGGCGGTCTACCGAGTATCAGCGAGGCGCTCAAGATTCCCGTTGAAAATGGAGGGTTCATGCGTAGGGGAGGGGTCCCACTGGGCGGAGGGGATGCTGTCGAGACATTCCTGCAAGGCGTTCGGAACCATGTCAAGGACTCGGCCCAGGGCAATCCGATGGAGACGGACTGAATTGTTTAATGCGTATTGAATATTATTTGAGCCTAGTTTTTTGGTCGCTTCTTTTTCCCTGGTCATCGGTCATTCCCATGTAACTACAAAAGCGGCCATTGATTTCCAACGATAGAGGGTACCCAGGGGACTGGGATGATGCGGACAGAAGACCTTTACATGAAACATGCTCCGTACGTCCGTAGTGAATCGTTCTAAAATGAAGAACCAAGGATGGAGCATGTCAAAAATGTCCCAATCTATTTTTGGAGCTGGCGGGAACGGAGTTAGGCAACCTCATTGTCTCCATCTGGGTAAATTTCCGTGCCAGGACATACACGTACTGCTCTATAGGATCCAGTGTGTAGGGTAGAGACATGGATGAGGTCCCCCGCTCGGTAGATAGCATGTACCTTCAATAGTATCCAACATAATCATATCTAGAGTTCTATCATGGTTCAGTCATGAAGGCAACTTCCGCCCGTGGCTGGTGGGATCTGCAAGAGACCATAAGGCGTTCAACGGGCCACACAGAGGCTTTCTCAGCCCCGGCTTGGCCCAGAAGCTCCGCTGTCTTTGCGATCTAAGAGTGATTAGTGCTCCAGTCGAAGGCCGACCACCTGTCCATTATTCATTTAATTTATTATTATCGTCCCGGATTATTCTCATTATCCAATCCTCCATTCATTTCCCGACTATGCCTTCTTCGTCCGGCCTGTTGGACTGATCACTGGCCCCAATTTCAAACGTTCCGTTCCGACCGATTGCAACCAGTCCTTTTTCTCTGTACCTTTTTACCCCTAAAACTAATTAATCCAGAGAGGAAGAAAGAGAGAGCGCGAAAAAAAGACGATTCCTCCCCGGACGGACTCAGCATCGGGAGATATTCAGCAACAGCCCCCAACAATTTGACAGCTGCCGATATTTGCTTCTCCGCGACCGATTGAACGTCTCCGATCCAACGACCGTCAACGAATAAACCATCTTTACTTTACATCTCGAGCTGTTTCTTGCGGCCTGGCGATGTCTCCGTTTGGTTAGCGATACGATCCTGTGCCTATGATGGCTTCCAATAGCCATGACCGCGGCCCCCACGAAGACAGCTTTTCGTCAGATCATTCAATCCCCTTACAAGACCTCTCCGGCCCGCCAGATATCGGGGGACATCAAGAGGCGGGAAGCAGGTTTCTGCCAGGGCGATCGTTGACCAGAAGAGGCCGGTCGGAGACGAATTACGCGAGGATAGCGGAGGATTCACCGATCGAAAGCACGACAGCTGCAGGAACTGCGCGCCGCCGCCGTCAAGACTCCGATGCCCACGATGTCGATGATCCAGGGGCCTTCGCGGCCGCCATGTCCTCCGTCGGAATCAGTTTCACCGGCCCCCCGGACCACCCTGCCACGCGCAGCCGCGACGACCTCGATACCATTCCCTTGGACAGCTTCGGTCTGCAGGAGCCCGCGCATAGCCTCACCCCTAGCGTTTCGTATAGCGACACCGCGCCCTTGACGAATATCGGAAATATTCAACCTATCAGCGGGGCGATCCCCGACCGCGGGCGACAGAATGACAGACACAGCGCGCAGACCGTTCATTTCCCCGACGACGGCCATACCGGGGCGCGCTTAGGTGACGATCTACACAACCTGGAAGGCGGACTGGGTGGGAGGAGTCGCGGTGGAAGCAATGCGACGGAGAGGGGTCGTTCGCTGTCTCCGTCGGCGTCGGGTTCTGCTCTGCTGCGGGCCAGCTCGATGATGAAATCCATGTCGCAGCGTGTCGTCAACCTCAGTAACGAACCAGAGGTGGTGGAACAATCGATACAGAGGGAAGAGTCCCATAAGAATTCGCGACTCGAAGAACCCCCGTCGCTTCCTTCGCTGCCGGATTACGCCCACGATGCCCCCCCGACGCCCGAGCTGAACAGCCATGTCAAAAGAGAGAAGTCCACCGCCAGTAAGGCATGGAGATCTCTCAACAATCCGCTCAAGGGGAAGTCTCTCGGCATCTTGGGCCCGGATAACCCTCTTCGCGTGCGACTTTGTGATATCCTGGTTCACTCTTTTACCGAACCGTTCATTCTGGTTGTGATCATCATCCAAACCATTTTATTGACGATTGAAACGTCAATGTCAGACTGGCATCACGCCGGGAGATGGGGTGCTAGTGTGATGGATTACCCCTACTTTGCTATCTTTGTCATTTACACGCTTGAACTGATTGCCAAAATCCTGGTGTCGGGCTTCATCATGAATCCTGCAGAGTACAGTACAATAGACCGATCGCTAGGGTTTCGAAAGGCCGTAGCAGAGAAAGGAAAGAACCTCATCGCTCCGCAGCGAAATCCGTCGACGAGAAGACCATCTCCAGGCCCCGAACATAATCAAGCCTCGATTATACGCACATTCACCGGTGGGCTGAATCAAATCGAGCAGCAAACCCTGGCCGATGATCCTCTCCAGAAGCGTCGGGTGAGACTCGCTCATCGGGCCTTCCTTCGACATTCATTCAACCGTCTCGACTTTGTCGCCGTGGTGGCTTACTGGGTTGCTTTCTTTCTGTCCGTGTTTGGAGTCGAGACCACCCAGCAGCTCTATGTCTTTCGAATGCTTAGCTGTCTGCGTCTTTTACGTCTCCTTGCTTTGACGAATGGCACATCTGTAAGTTCCGTCGTGGTGCTATTAAGTTTGTGTGTGTTGTACCACGTTGCTGATGTATATCGAATCAGATTATTCTCCGAAGTCTTAAGAAGGCTGCCCCCTTGATGGTCCACGTTGCCTTCCTTGTAGGCTTCTTCTGGCTTCTCTTTGCTATTGTCGGCATCCAAAGTTTCAAGTCAAGCTTCGGAAGAAGTTGTGTCTGGCGTGGTGTTGACGGACAGGAGGATTTTGCCTTGAATGACCCGGACGGCACCCTCCAATTGTGTGGTGGGTATCTCGACCCCGTCACCGGCGACAAGAAGTCATGGATCGACAGGGACGGCTATCCGGTTACAGCGAAACCGAAAGGATATATCTGCCCGAAAGGATCGGAATGTGTCGAAGACACCAACCCTTACAGTGGAACCATGAGCTTCGATAGCATTCTCTACTCTCTGGAACTCGTTTTTGTCATCATGAGCTCGAACACTTTCACGGATCTTCTCTACTATATGACCGACAGTGATTATCTTGCTGCCGCCCTCTTTTTTGCCTTTGGGTTCCTCATTCTAAGTTTGTGGATGGTCAACTTGTTGATTGCCGTGATCACGCACACTTTTCAGGTCATCCGAGAAGAAAGTAAACGGAGTGCTTTCGCCGTGGATAAAGTAGGCTCGGCGGAGAAGGAGGAGGAGCAATCATCCCCGAAAATGAGCCAATTTAGGCGCCTATATAGCAAGACCGACTGGTTTTGGGTCACCGTGATCCTTTTCGGTCTCATCGCACAGGCATTGAGGAGCGCTTCCATGTCGGATGATCGAGAAAAATTTATCGACATCACGGAAACGGTCATTACCTTTACGTTGCTGGTCGAAATCGTTTTGCGCTTTGCATCCGACTGGCGCAAGTTTCACCATCATCGGCGCAATTGGGCGGACTTGTTGATAGTTATCGTCACCTGTATCATTCAAATTCCCGCCATCAAGCACTCTGGAAGGCCTTACTCGGTCCTCACTCTCTTCCAGATTCTTCGAGTGTATCGGGTGGTGCTGGCTTTCTCCGTGACGAGAAATTTGATTCAGGTCGTCTTCCGCAACGCCAAAGGTCTGAGTAACTTGATTGTATTTGTGTTCCTGATCACCTACCTTGCCGCTATCTTCGCCACCCAGCTCTTTCGCAGCCAGCTTCTTGACGTTGACGACGCCGACATCAATTTCAAAAACATTTACAATTCCTTCCTGGGGATGTATATTATCCTGTCCAGTGAAAATTGGACCAGTATGCTCTATAATGCTACATCATACACCTACGATTACCGTACCGCCTGGATTTCCGCCACTTTTCTCATCATCTGGTTCGTTGTGGCCAACTTTGTCACCTTGAACATGTTTATTGCAGTCATCCAGGAGAGTTTCGATGTGTCGGAAGACGAGAAGCGCGTCCAGCAAGTCAGAGCATTCCTGGAGCAAAAGCATGTCAGTCCGAACTCCCAGGGGAACCTTTCCCTAACCAAGATCCTCATGATGGGTCGGGACTCGGATCGTTACAAAGATCCCCTTGATTACGGGCCTGCGGCTCTGGAAATGCTGCTCAAAGATGCAGTCGTCCAAGATTTCCTGGACGAGCAGGAAGGGGCCACAGAAAACCGTCGAGGTCGGTACATGGAGGCCACGGCCACGGCCCCGGCAGAGACCGAGGAGCCGGGTGTGTTTGCGCGCATGTGGACGGCCGCGACGTCATTTATTACGCGTAAAGAACCCAACCCATTCTATTCCAAACTGAAGTTCTCTCGCGCCTACGAAGAGCTGGATCCCCGGGCCATGGCGCAGGAGGTCGTATCCGCCGCCGAACAGAGGAAGCGTGCGCAGCGAGAATACCTCATGCGACACCCGAATTATAACAAATCCCTGTTTCTCTTCGCGCCGGACAACCCCTTACGCCGAGTGTGTCAGCGCGTTGTCGGGCCTGGACGCGGACACCAGCGTGTTGAAGGCGTTGATCCGTACAAGCCGATGTGGTACTCGTTCTCTGCCTTCGTCTACGCCGCTATCGTCGCCATGGTGTTGCTCGCGTGTATTACTACTCCGATCTATCAACGAGACCACTTCCGGAACGACCGAGACTGGTTCACTTATACCGACATGGGATTCGCCATTCTTTTCTCCATCGAGGCCATGATCAAAGTCATCGCAGACGGGTTCTTTTGGACGCCGAACGCTTACTTCCGAGGGTCCTGGGGATTCATTGACGGTGTCGTGCTTGTGACTCTTTGGATTAACGTGATCAGTTCGGTATTCGAGGACTGGGGAGTTTCTAGAGCCATTGGGGCTTTCAAGGCGCTGAGAGCGCTGAGATTGCTGAACGTGAGCGACAGTGCCAAGAACACCTTTCATTCCGTTATCATTGTGGGAGGATGGAAAGTTATTGCTGTAAGTCCTGCACTAATCTTTTGGTAGGTGCAGTGGAGCTGATGTTTTGAATAGGCCGCGTCCGTTTCGATGAGTTTCCTGATTCCGTTCGCTATCTATGGAGTCAATCTGTTCAACGGCCAATTGGTGCAATGCAACGATGACGACTTCGAGGGCAACTTGGATTACTGCGTGAACGAGTACACCAATACGCCTTACAATTGGGAGGTTCTAGCGCCTCGAGCGGCTGCTAACCCGTACTACGATTTCGACAATTTCGGAAATTCGCTCTTCATCCTGTTTCAGATTGTCAGTCAGGAGGGTTGGACGGATGTCCTCGCAAGTTCCATGAGCATCACCAGCGTAGGTGAGCAGCCCGAGGACTACATAGCGCCGGAGAACGGGCTCTTTTTCGTTGTGTTCAACTTGCTCGGTGCCGTCTTCGTCTTGACGCTGTTCGTGTCTGTGTTCATGCGAAACTACACGGAACAGACTGGTGTGGCCTTCTTGACGGCGGAGCAGCGGTCCTGGCTCGAGTTGAGGAAGCTTCTCCGGCAGATCTCTCCTTCCAAACGCTCGTTCGAGACCTCCAGCCACAAGTGGAAGATGTGGTGCTATCGTGTTGCTGTCAAGAAACATGGGCGATGGGCTAGATGCATTACTACCATATTGATGCTTCATCTATTGCTGCTTGTTCTGGAATACTACCCCGAGCCGAAGTGGTGGGATTTTATCAGACGTAAGTTATCTCCTTAAAGACGTTCCCTTTCCAAGATGGCAGTCTGACTGACTTCGTACCTGCAGAGGGTCTCTTCTTTATATTCGGCCTTTTTTACATTGCCAACGTTCTCATCCGACTGCTTGGATTGGGCTGGCACCGGTTTACGCGAAGCTCCTGGGACCTTTTTTCGTTGATCGCGGTTCCGGGGGCGTTTGCCACGACGATTCTGAATTTCTTTGGAGACCAGCAGGTGATCGTGGAGTTGAATAAGCTCTTTCTCGTGGCCTGCACGCTCCTGCTGATCCCGCGCAACAACCAACTCGACCAGCTGTTCAAGACGGCGGCGGGTAGTTTGACGTCCATCGGAAACCTCCTGGCCACCTGGTTCGTGCTATTCCTGGTGTACGCGATCGCGATGAACCAAGCATTCGGACTCACCAAGTTTGGCGACAACGAGAACAACAACGTCAACTTCCGCGACGTCCCACGGTCTCTGATCCTGCTCTTCCGAACCAGCTGCGGCGAGGGGTGGAACGAGCTGATGGAGGACTTTGCCACGATGGAACCGCCCCTGTGCACGTACGGCAGCGACTTCTTGAACGACGACTGCGGCAGTGCGCCGTGGGCTCGCTCCCTGTTCATCTCCTGGAATATCATCAGCATGTACATTTTCGTGTCCTTGTTCGTGTCGTTGATTTACGAGAGCTTTTCCTACGTGTATCAGCGAAGCAGCGGGCTCTACGCGTTGAGTCGGGAGGAGATCCGTCGGTTCAAACAGGCCTGGGCGACGTATGACCCCGACGGCACGGGGTACATTTCCAAGGAGCAGTTCCCGCGATTGCTGGGAGAACTGTCGGGTGTCTTCTCGATGCGCATCTACGAGGGCGAGTTCACGATCGGGCGCATCTTGGAGGAGTGCAAGGTCGACAAGCGCGACTCGTTGATTGCGCACCGGCGCGTGGTGGAAGGGCTCGACATGGACCGCATGGCGCGCATCCTCCGACGCATCGACATCGACAACGTGCGCGAGCGCCGGCAGCGACTCAATACCTTTTACGAGGAGGTGCTGGTCTCGGCGGACCCGGTGCGCGGCATCTCGTTCCACTCGTGTCTCATGATCCTAGCGCATTACAACGTGATCACCGACAGCAAGAGTCTGCGACTCGAGGAGTTCCTGCGTCGGCGTGCCCGATTGCAGCGCGTCGACGAAGCGGTGCGTCGCGCCACGGTCATCGGCTTCTTCGACACGTTGTACTGGTCGCGCGAGTTCCGTCGCCGCATCGAGCATAAGAAATCGGCGCGCATGAGCTTCGTGCCGCAGTTCTCGGTGCCAGAGATCTTCGTCGACGACGGATCTCACGACGACCAGCCGGAAGAGGAGCGCCGCCGACTCGCGACGCAGGAGCCTCTGGTGCCTAGCGCCGAACCCATGCTGTCACCCACCTCGCCAACCAGTGGTGCCGGAGGCGATCCTGGCCCGTCCACACAACGCGGTGCTCATCTACCACGTATCGATACCAGCCGGCTGGGCCACATCTCGGCCACCAGCTCGCCGACGACGACGGAATGGTCGAGCATCAGCCCATCGCTCTCGCCGCGGCGGGACCGCGCACACACGACGTCTTCTACGTACGACACGGGGCCGGACCCTCACGACGAGACGCCGGATGCTGGGGAGCGCTCGCGCCAGAACAGCCCGATGAGTGTACGCGACGTGATGCAATCCCTGGGCGAATCCGCCTGGGGGGAGAGTATTCGACGAAGTTTCACGCAGCGACGATCGGATCGATGATCGGATTCGTGAGATCTTTTATTATAACCGTACATATTCTATGATATGATGAATTTGCTTTGACCTTTTTTATTTATTTTTTATTTTTTATTTTTTATTTATTTCCTTGCTATTTTTCCCCCGTCAATTTTATCATCTGAACGATACATAGGCCATCATGGGGGGTTCTGACAAACCCCGATCTCGCGCATGTTACCTGTCACATTCTTCTGAAATTTCTGACATTTTCTGATTCTTTCAATTTCTTGACGTTCTTGGCGTGAATTGCAGCACCGAATGCATTCAGCATTCTTCCGTCCGCTAGAATCTTGGGAATTGCATAGCGGTGGCGTGTCGGAGACTATTTCTGTGAATTTTTCCGGCGACTCTTTGTATGTACGTGACTGAGTGTAAATGTATGATTGATTTACTGGAACCAAGGCCGACAGGGACAAGGCATAAGACTAGGCATAAGACCGGGTAAGACCCAGCAAGGTAGAGAGGGAGCGTGAGAGGGAGGGCCAAGGGATTACCGGAAGCGGAGGCAAAGGAGGCGATTCAGAAAGACCTTGACTTGACTTGACTTGACTAAGTCTTGCCTCCTCGCTGAGAAGGGGAAAACCTAAAGCGATGAAGTCGGAAACGGCGCGCTCTCCGGAAGCAGCCAAGTTGATCGATCATCGCGCGATCGCCGTCTTCGGGCGCCTTGCATTATAGATTAATCTCATATAATCCGATGTCGTGTCCGGGCCCGACTTGAATTTAATTCCCTCTGGACTCTCGTGTTTCCTTTCTTTCTTTGCTTTTGCTGGCGCTTTTGCCTCCTCGTTTCCTTGGGCCTTCGTATTTATTCGCGACGTTCTCTCGGGGATTCTTACCCTCTAGTCATTCTTTAGATCTTCCCATCATTCTAATCTCTTCCTCTTGTCCTCCCGATCTCCCGATCGACATTCTATCCTCCTCATCCTCGTCCTCTAGTTATACGGAGTAACTCTCAAGAATGCGCCCCAACCTCAACCCCCTCCACACTTCCTTCCACCCTCCCTCTTCTTCTTCTACTACTCCTCGTCCTCAAGACCAAGTTCAACCCACCAGCAACACCAGCCCAACAACCAGCCCAACCAGTCCCACCACCACCGCCTCAATCTCCTCGCCCTCCCCACCCACCTCTCCCTTCTACAACCTCACCACTACAAGTCACCGACCTCGCCGCCTCCACCACAACAACAACCCGCCAACCCACCACCGCCGAGGCCGTCTCCCCACCCGCGATCGCCACCCCTACTCCAACACCAACACCCACCATCCCTCCTACTCCCCATCCTCCACCAGCGCAAGCCCCAGCCCGGGCTCCCCCTTCCGCCTCAGCGCGTGTTCCCTCTTCGGCGCATCCTCTTCATCCCCGCGCCCGTCCTCAACCATCTTCCTCCGTCGACGCCCCTCGCGCACAGAAGTCGCCCTCCGCGAAGAACGATGGCGCGCAGAAGAGGATAGCATCGAGCGGCTGGGGCTCGAGATGTTAGAGCCCAGACCCTCGGGCCCTTATACCTCGGGCTCGTACGCTGCGTCAGCGGCCTTTGGGATTGGCGGGTTTGAGGATATGGAGATGGGGTTGGCGCCGAGTATGAGTATGGATGGGGCGGTGGAGATGGATTCGTCTTTCTCTTCTTTTTCTTCGGGGTTGGGACTTGGGTTGGGAACTTGGGGACAACAGCAGAGGGTTGTCATGGAGGGGATATTTGAGGTTATGGAGGAGGGGAGATGATCTCTTTCTTTTCTTCTCTTTCTCATTCAGGGTCTTGTTTGTTCTCTGGTCTCTGTTTATGGGGCTCGTTGGTCTTGGATTATTATCTTTGATGGTTTTTGGGTACCTTGGTGGGTTGTTATACTCTGGGAGGGAGGAAGGGGGTTTGGTTGAGGAATCTATTTCCGGATCTGGAGTCTGGTTTTGGGTTTGGTTTAGTGATTAATCTATCGGTCTGTGTATTTGATTTTGGACTTGAGCACCTCTGAATGGGTATGGAGTTATCGAAGCGAAGCGATGACTCTTCATTCATTCATTCATTGATCGATCACTATCTATGGATGAACAGAAGGAAAAGGTGGATAATGAAACGGAAAGGAGTATAGTATAGGTATTCTTCCGGAACACAATAGCTGAGCCTATCTTGTTTGGTTTGGTTTGGTTTGATTAAATTCGATCTGTGTACTTATGAGCGAGGGTGGATAGTTCTGATTTCTATTATCTGTTTATCGGGTTCTTTGCTTGTCTTATCCATGTTTCGATGTATAGCTTAGGGAAGTATAGGGACGTTTACTATTTGTTTACTGTATAGGGAATGAACTATTAATATATGTACCATATGATATGCTATGCTCTCTCTTTTTTTTAAAAAAAAATTCTTTGCTAGATTGATATGCCAGGGTCATGCTATGCTATGCTATGCTATTAGGATCACCTAGGGAAAAAATGCCATACCAACAGCACAGCAGGTGACCGATTCAGATCCATGCATGCATTGTATCGCTCATTAATCGAACCGAGCCGAGCCAGATTAGGTGGATCAACAATCTGAGTACATTCCCTCATACCGCCGTGCCAGACTAGGTACATACAGTACATTTCCCGTATCACTCCATGCCACTCCATTCGACTCCGGTAAAAACGAAACGAGAAACAAAACCAAAGCATCCACCGTATTATGCATGTAACTGCAGGGCAGAAAAAGTTAGGTCAAGTCAAGTGCAATGCAAATGCAAATACATGCCAAAAGGGGAAGGGAAAAAAAAAAGGTAAAGCAGAACTTGGGTATTTGGAAGACCAGTGAAAGACAGGACCAAAAATGACAGAAAGGTAATGAACAGATAGATAAGGAGAGGTTGATGTTGATGGATGGAGGGGTTTCATCGTCCAATCACACTGCACGGTAGTGTACTGCACCGGAATCAACTCTATATTATAGTGAGTTTGTAGATAGAATCGGTAAGGTCTGACGAGAGGTAAACCATACCAATGACGGCTTCGTAGTTGGAACCAGGGGAGGTCTGACTTGTAACATATCATGAAGACGGGACATCGGGTCGGAGACAACGTTGAGGGAGACGAAGGGAGATGCCAGCAGATATCTGTCATATTTATCCAGGCAAAGGCAGTGTACAGTTCGAGTTAAAGCTCAGTTGGAGATAGAAAGTCAGGACTCCGAGAGCATACCAGACAGGACGACGATCATCTAGTTCCCTTGCGCTGGTTCGGCCACAATTGTTTCCGACAGTTAGGCTCCCCACAGAGACAAAGCTTTGCCTGAGAATCTTCGCTGACGACATCAACACTCTCCGCATCAGGGTTGTAATCGAAAGTCAACTCAGTCATAGGCGGGATCTCCTTCAAAGAAAAAAAGGCAAGATCATACAGCCGCTGGTCCGCGTTGTTGCGTGTAGCTGGAAGCAAGCGGCAATTTGGATTACACGAGTGATTCATAAACCGTGTAGGGGCTCCAAACTTCTGACCGTCTATCACGAACATGTCCTCCTCGGCCACTGTATCAACAAACCAATCCAAGCCAAACAGGTATGAGTGACCATGTTTTGCCATGCAGAGCTCTTCGCGCACATCGGCAACATCCTTAGTGACGACCTCACCAAGATAACAGTCAATAAATTGACCAGCGCGAATCAGGTCCGGGGAGCGAAGGCCTGTCTATCTTAGCGAATGATCATCTTAGAAGAGAAACAGAAAGTTACGTACCAAATCCACGGTTGCCAGTATGGAAAATCTCTAACCTCACCTGGCGTCCACTCTGCACGACGCGATTCCAACAGGCCGCATTGCAGTCGCACCGAGACCCACATTCAGAGATCATCATACGCCGCTTGAGGAAATCCGGTGTTAACACCATGAGCCGCCCATCGTCTTTTGCTCTCTCGTACGGAATGATCGTGCTCTTGGAATCGTTCTCCTCAGTCTCGAGACAAGTGCAGCGGCCCGGGTCACAGAACGAGTCACAAGAGCAGCCCCCGTGAAATTCTTCCGGGGCCGGCTGCACCCCTCTTCGCAGCTTGTTGCTGTTAATGAACTCGAAGTTTCCAAACTGCGCTAGCAGTTTTTGATCGGCAGCAGCGAACGTGACAGGAGGGCCTTTGATACCTGACAATTTGCGCTCTAAGGAAAGCTGCAATTGTCGGTTTATCTTAGGGGGGGAGGTGAGAAATGGACCAGGGGAGCCGATCTGGAAGGGGATTTTGGCCCGGTTGACCTTTCTAGTAGATGGATAGATTCCCTTCAGTGCGCGCTTCTCATATGCATCGGTGGGATAGTACTCTTGAGATAAACCAGTCGGGCCATGATCGGATCTCGACCAACTAGCAGACGCAATCTCTCGTTTTAGTTGACGAGAAGGAGACGGGACCACAACTGCGATCTTGTTTCCTTCCTCTTGGCTAGTAGGACCGGGGCTAGGGGTGGATGGCTGGGCTTGACTTTGTGAGAGGTGAGGCTTGTAGTTAGGTTCATAAGGGCTCTGGTAAGTGCCATTTGTGGCGATAATATGAGGCCGTTTTTTATAAGAACTTTGGTAATTGTGCTCCGCGAAAGACTGAAGTTTTCTTTGTGCTTGAATTCTGTAGATGTCGGTTGACTGAGAGGCTGGATTCTCACTGTCTGCCCCTTTAGAATCTCCATTTGGAAACCCGGAGAAATTTGCCTGGTTGAAGGGGCCATCAGGGACAGCAGAGGGCCATTCCAGTCCGTCCTGTTTCCGCTTCAGCGGTACTGTACTGTGATTGGTTAAACTTGAGGTAAAGGCTGGCTGTGCTGGAAGGACGTGGTTTCCATTGACAGGCTGTAACCGTATAGATTCGGGTCAGCTGATGATCACGAGACACGTCAACGACACCAGGTGATCCAGAGAGCATGAATAATCCAAGAGGAAAGTAAAATCAAAGTAAGTGAGTTGAAGTTCTGCAAAGTTCAAGTATTACACTGTAAACTTTTCCAGCTGGAAATCTCCTTTAAGAAAGGGTAAAGAACGTAGCAGGTGGTACATGGTTCTGTAGCGCAAGCATACCCAAAGAATAAAGACATGACGATCGTCGCGAAGGGGAGAAAATCAAGAAATAAAAACAGGTCCTAGATCCGGGAAACCCGTTACCCACTTAAACCTCACTTACCCAAGTCTGGAGGCGATTCTGATTGTCGGAATCAGAGTCCTGAGTAAGGTCTATGACCATTGTGGAGAGACACGCCCGAGAACGCGAGGGCCAGGCCTCTAGAATCCAGGGAGCGGGTTGGGAGGCCGGGCGGAGGGGATGGAGTGCAACTTGCAGCGCCCATGGAGATCCTAGAGAATAGAGATAAAAGGAGAGGAACTGAGGAAAGTCTTCTTTCAAGTCTGGCTCCCTGTTGAGTCTAGTCCCATTCGGGCAGTCGATGGCTGCTTAGTCATAGGATTTAAACCTTCTAACGAGATTAAGTGAATATAATCCAGGTGAAAGAAGAAAGATCAAGAAACTGAGTTTGGAGATAAGAAGTGTTGTCTTGAGTGAAATAAAGGATATTCCAGACACCTCGCACAGGAAAGTAAAAAGAAAAGTAGATATCAGGTGAATATCAGGTAAGGTGGTTGAAAGTGGCAGTCTGGTAGGACGTGGTGAATCTATCTGATATCTGATATCCCACAGATTAGTGGGCGCGGGAAAAGCCCGTTCAGAGCGCTCAGTTTGGCTCCGATTTCCACCCGCTTTCAATATCAATCAACAATGCTTGGCCAATCAGGGTTGAAAACACCATACCTCTTGATTATACTATCAAAGTAGCAAATCTTGTAGAGGAGAATATAGAGAATCACCCCAAACTCTCAGAAATAAAAAATAGGTTGTGGTCATGACAGGAGAGCTGTTTGAAGTTTTTAAGGAATTCTTTTATTTTTCTTGGCAGGCGCTGCCCGGTCATGACTAAGCAGATCAGGTGTGCCATCTGACCAAGTTGTAGGGGTCCTAGGGGAGCTGGTCCAGCTCGTCCAGCTCGTCCAGTTCACTTATATGAAGAGGGATAACCGAAGAATCTATAATTTACCTGACATTTACATTTCTAGCATGACTAGAGTCTAGAAAAAAAGTTGAACTAAACGCCTTTCAATTTCCACATACACCCAGGCGGTCAGCGTGCGCCTTCCCGCAGTCCATCCACCAACTGGCGATTAGAGCCCGGAACGGCACCTCGCACCCAGCGGACGGGTGGCCCATTTTAGCGCTCACTTTAGCCACCCTAGGGATTTACTTGGGGCTATCCACAGCCCTTGGTCTAGGGGCTTAGGCTGCCAAACCTAGGCTCTAAATTGGGGATACTGCGTACTTCGCTGATAGTTCTCGGGAACAACAATTGCCACAATATAAGTGTGAGGCTATTGTTCTGTATGAATTTCCTTCTTTCATACTAAATACTTACTATTTAAACCCCCCCCCCTCTGACCTGGACCAGGTCAGGCAATAGCTGCTGATGTACGCAGTGCCGCTCAGGACCTGCTATCTAGGTGTCAGGGACCTGACGTATATAGTACACTAGCTGAATGACCTGTTGGTCAATCATTGTGCCTTTTTAGTCTAATGGTAAAGCTAGTGGACAGGGGGCTTACATTAGGGGCCAAGATCCGATAATTCAATGGGTCCCAGGACATGCAGGTATAGAAGGAAACGAAAGGGCAGATCAAGAAGCAAAACAAGCCGCAACACAAACACCGGGACCAGGCTGCAGAGAGATCTCACTAGCATTTACTCGCAGAACCCGTACAGAGGCGTTAAGAATAAGCAGATAACACTGGCTGGAGAATAGTCTTAACCGGAGATCCCAATCGACACAGAGAACCTATAAATCTGGAAGAGGCTGGCAACTGGATCCTATAACAGCAACAGCTACTAAGGGCCTAGCTAGCCGATACTTCCAGATGAAGGTAGCACATGCAGCTATCGGATCATATCTACACCGCATAAAATCTCGGGAAAGAGCGACCTGCCAAAACTGCCAAGCTCCTAGGGAGACAGTCTCTCATATACTAGTCAGCTGCAGGCAATGGCGACGGCAACGAGAGGTGATATATACAGCTCTAGATAGAGCGGGAATAGCAAGGCCTTCCGTACAAGAAACCCACCCGGAAAGCAGGCTCTTTGGGGAGCCTAAAGCTACTAAAGCCCTACTGGACTTTATAGCTAATACAGACGTGACTCTTTCTGGAAAACAACACCAGAAGGACCAACACAGAGCAGAGAGAGACAATGAAAAGGGCCTAGAAGCTCTAGAGGAGGCTGAACGAACCGGAGAAGGCTAACAGGAAGGGTGGCCTGGGCACACCTAGGCGTCACCCACCCTGCTAGAATCCCAAGGAGAGCAAACAAGCTCAAAAGCCCTGTGCAAGAAGGCGGTATGGGGCAAGGAAAAGGAACAGAATGTATACAAACGAGGGAATAGCCCTAGGAACTGATAAAAGCTTGAGGCCTAGCCTCAGGCCGACGACACACGGTCTGTCATAGCCCTAGGGGCTCGGTATGGACAATAAACTTGATTAAATAATAATAATAACCCCTCCCCTTTTTTTTTTTTTTTTGGAACTACTTGGAGGTGCGCGTAAACTGCAATGCATCGCTCGGCCCCGAGGCCACAGGGTATGTACAGCACCAGCAAAGGTAATCCATATAACGGTTCAAGGACCACGAGGCCAATTTGTGTTTTGTGGTCCGGCAATCAGGATTCTAAGCTGTGACACTGTGCTGAGGCTTCAAACAACCTAATGGCCTATCAGAAACCAGTCAGTATCTGCTAGTGGTGCTTGTACTGTAAAGCCTGTGTTAAAGATCGAGGACTACTATTTCTAGTTATAGTAAGTACTCCCAAAATCTACTGTAATATTCATCTGGCATCCCTCCTCCAATGTTCTATCTTACCAATCAATACTAACCCAAAGCTCAAGACTCGCTACATATTAACATCACACCTTGAAATCATATCAAACAACAATTAAAAACGGACCAAGCGCATAAACTGCAGCGACTCAACTAATGCAGCGACAAAATTATATTATCAAGGGCCTGAAGGAGGAGGAAGAAGAAAATATAACGAACTGTAAACTGAGATATACAGAAAAAAGAAAAAGCGCACCTATTGAATAGCCGTATCGAACAAAACGGGGGAGTAAATAACAGAACTGATCGAAGACATGATGCGCCCTTTTCTTTTCTCAGGTCTAATATACACCATGACAAACCAGTTGCGGTGGAATTGAGCCAGCTCAAATATGAATGCAAACCGAAATTTGACGAATCTGAATTCATAGCGGTGTGGAATGATGAGGGTAACGCAGTGGATAGATTGATTTGGTGGGGGCAAGGGGTCGGTGACATGCAATGGGGGAGAAAGGCTATTGAAGGGCTGGAACAGATGAAAAATAAAAAGGAAACATGATGCTCGTGCAAATGCTTCATGATATAGGCCGTCCATATCATTCATAGGGGTAGAAGGACAAAGACCTCTTATCGTCTTTTGAAAACAAAACCAAAAAAGCATAACAAAAACCAAGAAGAAACAATTACAGTCTCAAGGCGTCCAGGATTTTCTTGGCCATCTCGCGGTACTGCCACATGCCTCCTGCAACCTTCTTGAACTGAATACCGTGGAGTGAAAACAGAGGAACCTTGACGATGAGGATTTCAAATCGGAGAACCAGATTCTCTCCGGTGTCGCTCTGAACACGAGTCGTGGTCTCTCCCACCACACGTTCTCCTACAGCGACGTTGTTGTCCCGAGGACCCACGTAATCTTCAGACGCATCCGAGTTGGAAACGAAGCTACGGTCCGGCGGAGCCCGGGTCCGACGCGGTGTTCTGGGAGTGTGGCGGTTCTCCTCCTTGACTTCATCGTGGTTCAAAAGACCTCCGAAACTAATTCGTCGCCGATGGTTCGAAACAGGGCCCTGTCGGTCAGGGCTGGGCGGTGCCGCATCCGTCACCTTTTCCAAATCAATACTTGGCGCGTGCCGGCAGCTGAACCCACCCTTGATCTCAACGTAGTCCACAGAGAGTTGCTTGAGCACACGGATAATGTCCGCGCGGATGACGGGTAGAGGCTTGCTGCTGGTCGTGGACACGCTAAATAGACCCTTAAGGTACACCGGCTTGGACAAATCTTCGCCCTCGTTCGCGCTCTCCAGTGCCGTCCCTGCCCCAGAGAGATCCGCATCGGTCTCCTCGGGGACATTGGCTTCCCGGGCAGCATCTCGTCGCGCGCGTCGTGCTTGGATACTTTCCCGGCGGGCATGGCCAAGCGACATGGTTCGGGAGGCATGCGTACGGCTAGCTGACCTCGATTCCTTGGAAGGTGTCTGGTCCTTGGGTACGTTCGCATTGTGGTCCGACCCGCTGCTCGGAGGTGGTTGTCCGATCGTATCAGAGTCATTCCTTCGTCCGATTCGGCGACGGTAGTCGGCCGAGTTGACGCTGGTTGATCTCTCGAGGAATTTGTTAGATCGTGAGGCCGGCTCTGTCGATCCGGGAGCGAGGAGATCTTGCTGCGGCTGACTACCACTGGCCGGCGGGATGGCCGTAGGAGAAGGATCGGCCCGTCGAGTTTTCCTCATGCTGAACCCTCTAGACAAGGGCGAAGCCGAGTCGGCAGGCGGCTGTACGCTCAATGATGGCGCATGGGGACTGGCCATTCTTCCGCGTTCGGGCTCGCGACCGCGCTCCTTCACCTTGCGGGTGCTGAAGCGCCTCAATATGCCTGCAGCGGTGCTCTCCTTCTTGACCGGGGTTTCGGGTTGCGACGTCGGGGGAGCAGGCGACGCCTGTCCAGGGGGAGCCAAATGAAGATTCTTGATCCCATCGGCCATATCGTCGTCTCCATGAGTCCTTGCGCGAGGACGAGTCCGCCTTCCGACGTCCTTTTCTCCCGGGACCTGGTATTGGTTGGTGTGAGCCGCCTCTGGAGCGGGTAGATCGGGCATCTGAAGCATGGCATCTCCGGCCGCCTGCGGCACGCCGAGCGCCCCGGGATTGGACTCGGCTCTTTCTCTGTCCAGCTTCTCTTTCACTAGGTAGTAGATCGACAGTAATGGGCTGTACGCATTCAAAGGGTCCGATCCCAATTGGACCGCTTCGGCAGACGGCGCGGACAAGGTATCCCTGCTGGCCGAATTGCGCCGTTTGTAGAAGTCGAACATGCCGCGTTTTTTCTCGCCGTGGCT